ATGGGCCGGTGGCCTTACATACAATTAAACATATTTTGACTTTGACTTTTGACTAGAATCCATGACACCTGGCGTAACTGTGTGTTCCTTGAACTAAAATCAGAGGCCACAACCGTCATCCTGGGTGGAGTCTACCTTCTCCCCCGGGGCTGCCCGTTATACCGTCATCCTGGGTGGAGTCTACCTTCTCCCCCGCGGCTGCCCGTTATACCGTCATCCTGGGTGGAGTCTACCTTCTCCCCCGGGGCTGCCCGTTATACCGTCATCCTGGGTGAGAGCAGTCTTGACCGTGTTCACGAGACACTTGAGGTCCCCGTTCTAACGTCGGCTCCGAATATTTCCGTTATACCGTCATCCTGCGGTGGAGTCTACGTGCGGCTGCCTGTACTATCCCAGACTTTTTATAGTGCTAGCCCACTGGGATGGAGTGCCGCAGTGAAGCATGGTCCCCGGGGAGACACATTATACTGACTCGAGCCGACCAGTCCTTGACGTACCCTCCCCAGGGCTGCCCGTTATACCGTCATCCTGGGTGTGAGACACTAGAGTCTACCAGTTATGGACACCAGGGATCTGTGTGAGAACTCCGCGACCTTCCGAGACTGGGTGGACGCTCTTGAGCAGGGTGTTGACAGCATTGACTGTGTGAGACACTAGACTGGGTGTTGACAGTATTGACTGTGTGAGACACTAGACTGGGTGTTGACAGTATTGACCGTGTGAGACACTAGACTGGGTGTTGACAGTATTGACTGTGTGAGACACTAGACTGGGTGTTGACAGTATTGACTGTGTGAGACACTAGACTGGGTGTTGACAGTATTGATTGTGTGAGACACTAGACTGGGTGTTGACAGTATTGACTGTGTGAGACACTAGACTGGGTGTTGACAGTATTGACTGTGTGAGACACTAGACTGGGTGTTGACAGTATTGACTGTGTGAGACACTAGACTGGGTGTTGACAGTATTTACTGTGTGAGACACTAGACTGGGTGTTGACAGTATTGACCGTGTGAGACACTAGACTGGGTGTTGACAGTATTGACTGTGTGAGACACTAGACTGGGTGTTGACAGTATTACTGTGTGAGACACTAGACTGGGTGTTGACAGTATTGACTGTGTGAGACACTAGACTGGGTGTTGACAGTATTGATGGGTGTTGACAGTGTGAGACACTAGACTGGGTGTTGACAGTATTTACTGTGTGAGACACTAGACTGGCTGGTGTTGACAGTATTGATTGTGTGAGACACTAGACTGGGTGTTGACAGTATTTACTGTGTGAGACACTAGACTGGGTGTTGACAGTATTTACTGTGTGAGACACTAGACTGGGTGTTGACAGCATTGACCGTGTGAGACACTAGACTGGGTGTTGACAGTATTGACCGTGTGAGACACCAGACTGGGTGTTGACAGTATTGACTGTGTGAGACACTAGACTGGGTGTTGACAGTATTGACACTAGTGTGTGAGACACTAGACTGGGTGTTGACAGTATTGACTGTGTGAGACACTAGACTGGGTGTTGACAGTATTGACTGTGTGAGACACTAGACTGGGGTGTTGACAGTATTGATGACGTGTGAGACACTAGACTGGGTGTTGACAGTATTGACTGTGTGGAGACACTAGACTGGGTGTTGACAGTATTGACCACGTGTGAGATTACTAGACTGGGTGTTGACAGTATTGACTGTGTGAGACACTAGACTGGGTGTTGACAGTATTGACTGTGTGAGACACTAGACTGGGTGTTGACAGTATTGACTGTGTGAGACACTAGACTGGGTGTTGACAGTATTGACTGTGTGAGACACTTGACTGGGTGTTGACAGTATTGACTGTGTGAGACACTAGACTGGGTGTTGACAGTATTGATTGTGTGAGACACTAGACTGGGTGTTGACAGTATTGACTGTGTGAGACACTAGACTGGGTGTTGACAGTATTGACCGTGTGAGACACTAGACTGGGTGTTGACAGCATTGACTGTGTGTGAGACACTAGACTGGCGTGTTGACAGTATTGACTGTGTGTGAGACACTAGACTGGGTGCTTGACAGCATTGACCGTGTGAGACACTAGACTGGGTGTTGACAGTATTGATTGTGTGAGACACTAGACTGGGTGTTGACAGTATTGACTGCGTGAGACACTAGACTGGGTGTTGACAGTATTGACTATTGTGAGACACTAGAGCTGGGTGTTGACAGTATTGACTGTGTGAGACACTAGACTGGGTGTTGACAGCATTGACTGTGTGAGACACCAGACTGGTGTTGACAGCATTGTATTGATTGTGTGAGACACTAGACTGGGTGTTGACAGTATTGACTGTGTGAGACACTAGACTGGGTGTTGACAGTATTGACCGTGTGAGACACTAGACTGGAGTGTTGACAGTATTGACCGTGTGAGACACCAGACTGGGTGTTGACAGTATTGACCGTTGACACTCAGACTGTAAGTGCTGACAGCATTGACCGTGAGACACTAGACTGGGTGTTGACAGTATTGACTGTGTGAGACACTAGACTGGGTGTTGACAGCATTGACCGTGTGAGACACTAGACAGCATTGACCTGTGTTGACAGTATTGACCGCAGGTGAGACACTAGACTGGGTGTTGACAGTATTGACCGTGTGAGACACTAGACTGGGTGTTGACAGTATTGACTGTGTGAGACACTCAGACTGGGGTGTTGACAGCATTGACTGTGTGAGACACTAGACTGGGTGTTGACAGTATTGACCGTGTGAGACACTAGACTGGGTGTTGACAGTATTGACCGTGTGAGACACCAGACTGGGTGTTGACAGTATTGAAATGTGAGACACAGACTGGTGTCGTGCTGCGTGAGCAGTATTTGACATGTGAGACACTCAGACTGGGTGTTGACAGTATTGACCGTGTAGATGTGTGCTGACAGCTTGACCGTGTGAGACACTAGACTGGGTGTTGACAGTATTGACTGTGTGAGACACCAGACTGGGTGTTGACAGTATTGACCTGGGTGTTGACAGACACTGTGTGGATACTAGACTGGGTTGACAGTATTGACTGTGTGAGACACTCAGACTGGGTGTTGACAGCGCAGACAATTGACCATATGTGTAGACACTAGACTGGCTGTTGACAGTATTGACTGTGTGAGACACTAGACTGGGTGTTGACAGTATTGACTGTGGGAGACACTCAGACTGGGTGTTGACAGTATTGACCGCGTGAGACACTCAGACTGGGTGTTGACAGTATTGACTGTGTGAGACACTCAGACTGGGTGTTGACAGTACTGACTGTGTGAGACACTAGACTGGGTGTTGACAGTACTGACCGTGTGAGACACTCAGACTGGGTGTTGACAGTATTGACCGTGTGAGACACTCAGAGACTGAGTTGACAGTATTGATTGTGTGAGACACTAGACTGGGTGTTGAGAGTATTGACTGTGCGGAGACACTAGGCAGACATGCAGTATTGTGTGTATGTGTAGCTGACTGCATTGACCCTTTGAGCACCAGACTGAGTGCTGACAGACTGGTCTTTAGTACTGCCCAGTGTGAGACACCAGACTGCGTGTTGACAGCATTGACTGTGCGGAGACACTAGACTGACTCCTGTTGACCAGTCCTTGACGTGTTCCATTAGACTGCAGTGTTGCCAGTATTGACAAGCAAGCACCATATTTTAACGACTTTTGGCTGTTGACAGTATTGATTGTGTGAGACACTAGACTGGGTGTTGACAGTATTGACTGTGTGAGACACTAGACTGGGTGTTGACAGTATTGACTGTGTGAGACACTAGACTGGGTGTTGACAGTATTGACCGTGTGAGACACTAGACTGGGTGTTGACAGTATTGACTGTGTGAGACACTAGACTGGGTGTTGACAGTATTGACCGTGTGAGACACTAGACTGGGTGTTGACAGTATTGACTGTGTGAGACACGAGACTTGGTGTTGACAGTATTGACTGGGTTGAGACACTAGCTTGGAGTGTTGACAGTACTGATATGACACGATTCCACAGATCTCCCATGCATGCGTGTGATGTGTATGACCGGGTGCTTGTACAGCAGCAGACTGTCCACTGATTTTTATAGTGCTAGCCCACTAGACTGGATGTGTTGACAGTACTGACTGGGTGTGAGACCCAGACTCAGACACACCTGACTGTGTGAGACACCAGACTTCGACCGATGACACTAGACTGAGTGTTGACTTGATGTGGAGACACCAGACTGAGTGTTGACAAAGACAAGGAGACCCTCTGGTTGTGTTGACAGATTTACAGCATTGACGTGTGAGACACTAGACTGGGTTGACAGTATTGACTGTGTGAGACACTAGACTGGTGTTGACAGTATTGACTGTGTGAGACACTAGACTGGGTGTTGACAGTATTGACTGTGTGAGACACTAGACTGGGTGTTGACAGTATTGACTGTGTGAGACACTAGACTGGGTGTTGACAGTATTGACTGTGTGAGACACTAGACTGGGTGTTGACAGTATTGACTGTGTGAGACACTAGACTGGCTGTTGACAGTATTGACTGTGTGAGACACTAGACTGGGTGTTGACAGTATTGACTGTGTGAGACACTAGACTGGGTGTTGACAGTATTTACTGTGTGAGACACTAGACTGGGTGTTGACAGTATTGACTGTGTGAGACACTAGACTGGCTGTTGACAGTATTGACTGTGTGAGACACTAGAGTGGGTGTTGACAGTATTGACTGTGTTAGACATAAGACTGGCTGTTGACAGTATTGACTGTGTGAGACACTAGAGCTGGGTGTTGACAGTATTGACTGTGTGAGACACTAGACTGGCTGTTGACAGTATTGACTGTGTGAGACACTAGACTGGGTGTTGACAGTATTGACTGTGTTAGACATAAACCTGAATGACACAGGGACAACCTGGATCCAGCTGTTTCAGATCAGGTCTACTTGCAATATCACATGAAATATAGACAGACACATTTTACACGGTAAATTTAATAAATGTGCACAGTATATAAAATAATATATGTCAAAATGATGTACATCAATGAACGTGTGAATAACGACCTTATACAGTTATGTAAACAATGTACATAAGTTCACAATGCCCCTGACTGGTGGGGATGTCTTGAACATATTGCCACAGGTACATTCTCAGCTGGGGGCACACAAAGACACATTGGTTAGTGTATTTGTTTGTTTGTTTAAAGTCGTTTGTAAATAATCGAGTCTGGAGCATACAATCCAGTGATCAACAGCATGAGCATAGTTGTATTCAATTCATGTATGATTCATAACTCAAAAGGAATCATTGGAAAGTCAAGCTGTGAGTGGCTTCTCATCTCCCTATCCGTTCACAATCTACTTCCCTTTACAGATACACAAGACACTGAATTCAGTATGTTTGATGAATGGCGAAGTCAGCAAAGCCAGCGTGGGATGAGCACGGTGACTGATCAACATGACAAGTGGCAACTACTGAGTTGAATGGAAGGTTGATGTGAACACATCAATCATGAGATGAAGACACATTATGACACATCTAAACACACACAAACCACATCCAGGGGGACCTGTATCTTGTACCAAGCATGTGATGCACAATTCTCAGAAGCTGCTATCAAATCTACCTGCGTTGTGAGCAAAGCTGGGATATAAAGTCCACTTGTGATGAGGGTGGGATTTGGGGTGTTGCAGGGGGTGTACTTAGATAAACTTTCAGTCAAGTGTACATCCTACCTGCTGTGAGGCCTATTACTGTTTGCTATAGGCATAGGTGTATGCTTGAAGCAAGAATTATCTAGCCCTATCGGTGTATGCTTGAAGCAAGACTTATCTAGGCCTATTGATGCATGTTTGAAGCAAGACTTATCTAGGCCTATTGGTGTATGCTTGAAGCAAGACTTATCTAGGCCTATTGGTGTATGCTAGAAGCAAGAATTATCTAGGCCTGTTGGTGTATGCTAGAAGCAAGACTAGATCTAGCAAGCTCTTCACAGGAACACAGTGAGATGAGATCATGAATAGATCACAAAAAATCCATTACAACATAGAGACATGAAAGCCCAAGACAACATGAGTTGTAATGTTGTTGCCATGTTCGTCCTCCCCAACAAGTAGAGTATGTGTGATCCATGTGCAGCACATGGCAGACACTCCATACAGAAGCAGCACATGGCAGACACTCCATACAGAAGCAGCACATGGCAGACACTCCATACAGAAGCAGCACATGGCAGACGCTCCATACAGAAGCAGCACATGGCAGACGACTCCATACAGAAGCGGCTCATACAGAAGCAGCACATGGCAGGACCTCCATACAGAAGCAGCACATGGCAGACACTCCATACAGAAGCAGCACATGGCAGACGCTCCATACAGAAGCAGCACATGGCAGACGCTCCATACAGAAGCAGCACATGGCAGACCTCCATACAGAAGCAGCACATGGCAGACACTCCATACAGAAGCAGCACATGGCAGACACTCCATACAGAAGCAGCACATGGCAGACACTCCATACAGAAGCAGCACATGGCAGACACTCCATACAGAAGCAGCACATGGCAGACACTCCATACAGAAGCAGCACATGGCAGACACTCCATACAGAACCATACAGAAGCAGCACATGGCAGACACTCCATACAGAAGCAGCACATGGCAGACACTCCATACAGAAGCAGCACATGGCAGACGCTCCATACAGAAGCAGCACATGGCAGACACTCCATACAGAAGCAGCACATGGCAGACACTCCATAAAGAAGCAGCACTTGTATAGCAGTAATCCACACCGACACACACTTCAGTTGTAACGGATGGACGGAGCAGATCAAAGATGGAACGTTTGTAAGAGTGACCAATCACAATGAAGAATAAGAATTCTCAACTCTGAATGCATCACATGTAGCAAGGATGTATACCTGATGAACCTGACAGGAATGTTAAACAAAACACACCCTCAAATCTCAAACTGAGAGGTGCACAATCACTTCAGTCAACATCCATGCGTGTACATGGCCTGTCTAACCTGACATACATACAATGATAGACAGTTCGACTCTATGGGTCACGTGATGGGACTGTTATTGCTGACAAGAGGGGATATGGACTCACACAACCTCATGCTGTCTGGCAGATCACAGCACTGCTATCATAATGTCAGTACTTCATATAAAGAAATACTTAGGATATTCAGATTGAGAATTAATGCATTAACTGAGACCTTCTCAAAGGTCCACAATAATAGTCATGAAGTAACAACATTTATATCATAATTTTCAAATTTTGAGAACAAATATCACCAACAATAATAAGCAGTAAGTGTTCAACATTAACACCACTATCTACATCGTCCTCATCTTTCCCTCATGGATAAACGAACTTAGCAACATCATACTCCATAACCTGCCAACAAAGCAGCAGTTCGCTGTACAGAGTTGCCTCCCTTGGGTACACCAGAAACTTATGATTGTGAGTTCGAATTTGGTTCTCCTTGATAAGGCTTCTCGATTTGTCCTCACCATTATGGGGCATGTGAGTTTCACCATAGTGGTCAACGCCTGAAACCTGCATTACTTCATGCTCCCACTTGTCACTGACCAAATCTGATGCAACCAAATACTGATCACAGCCACATATTACCCAGTTCACTCACTCACTCAATGAAGTGCCTCACAGGCGATTGACTCGGTAGAGTGTCATACGTTCTGGAGCTGAGCAGTACCTCACATCAACTTATATAATACAAACTACTCTTCCTTTTGATTCAGCATGAAATGTGTTGTGTACAATCTCCCCCGCACAACTGATGTTCTGTGTTGGTGAAGACATTCATGCAAAACCTCACACACTCATGCATCAATGTCAGTTGTTCCAATGCTTAATATAGAAAACCTCTGCTGTCTTCATTGTCAAAATGTCATTTTGATTCCACTCATCATCAAGATCTATTAATGTTGAAGCTTCTTTACTTCAATTCTCAGTGGTGCCGAATGCTCAGTGGTTTTGTTCTCTGCAGGGCACAAAGAGTCCAGAATGGTCCCACATGAAGACTACAGAGGTTATGCAATGGATCACCTCCCAGTAATATACATCAATTACCAAGTCTTACATCATTACCATCTTATACTATCATTAAAACCTGTCTGAGCAAAACATCTGGCATACTGGATATGTTGCCAGCACACACACACATCCACTCACATATTCACACACACATATTCACTCACACATATTCACGCACACATACATCCACTCACACACACGATATCACCGCCTATTCCTTCCCAGCATCCTCTCTCTTCCTCACTGTCGAGCTGTCATCATTGTCTCTTGTTTTCACTTCCTCTCCACTCTTCTTCTCTGAGTCTTCCCCTGATTTATCCTCTGCTTTCTTCTCTTCCCTCTTGAAGAAAGCCTTGACCTTGGCCAGGAGTCCCTTCTTCTTGCTGGGGTCGGAGACAATGAAGCGCCTGGTGGTGAGGTTGTGGATGGACCCGAAGGCGATGGCCACGACGGTGCAAGCAAGGCAGATGACGTTGTAAGGCATGCTGAAGTCCGGAGTCGGGAGAGACACCAGCAGAGACTCAGTGTGGATTCTCAGGAAAAACTGGTCAGATTCATCCTTCATGCTGAAATATTAACAGATTACTGCAAATATACACATTGCAAGACATGGCATGACATTAATAGCAAGACATTTCTTTGACAGATGTACTCTCTGAAAAATGATGAAAAATGAAACCTTGTAATACAAACCAATAAGAGCGAATTTGAAACTATGACCGTTTGTTAAACAACTTTTATCCTAAGTTGAATAAAATTCTGAGATTTAAATGTTCAATTGGCAAAGTCAAATTATGAGGATTCGCAATCTTAATTTCACTTCGTTTGATTTACTTTGTTGTTTAAAGTGAAATTCATCGGTTTTCACTGCAAATAGACTATAGTATCTACATACTAGTGAGTGGATGTTAACCACGTGAATGTAGCAAGAAATATATCGCGCAGTATTGTCACTTCGACCCCACCTCACTTCCGTGGAACATATTGTTATAAGTTGTGTCATGCAAAATCCTTTTGGTCATGATTCAAATATATATTTAACTACGAGTGGTAAGTAGTTTTGATTTTCCAACTTGATGAAAACAAACCATAATATCATTAATTCTAACAGACTTTAGCCCGTGACTTTACGGTTTTCAAAAATGGTGGCGCCCTGTCGCTAACATCCGTCAGTCTGAGGATAAATGCTATTTAGGTTTGTTTTCACCAAGTTACAAAATTAAAACTACTTTCTACTGGTAGTAAAATATGTATTTGATTGATGGCCAATAGCATTTTGCATGACATTGCGTATAACATAACAATTTCTCTCCTGGCAGCGAGGTGGGTGTCAATATAATACTACTTACAATATTATTGTTACTTCGACCACAACCTCACTTCCGAGGAAGAAATCGTTATGTTACAAGTTGTGTCATGGAAAATCTTTGTGGTCCTCAATCACATACATATTTTACTACAACTAGTAAGTAGTTTGATTCTTTAACTTCCGTGAAGCGATCTGAACACAAGTAAGACATCGTTTCAGGCTTCCACAACGCTCACTTCGCACTCACAAACATAACCAATTTAGCACAAACTGCGGGGTCCTGTGGAAATCTGTGCATGGTGACACCATCGCCCAACCCCTAGGAGCAATTGACAACATTGCAACGATTCGTCATGTCTTCGTTGATGTCGAGAAATCATCAAAATGACGAGCTTGCTACACACTTTCTATACAACTAACTGAAAATCCTTCCTCACATGACGTCACTGCAGTGCTCTGGCGACAGAGTTACGTAACCTGTCTGTGGTTTCGTTGGCGAGTGAGAGTGAAGCAGGCAACTTTTAATCTCTCAGTATTAATTAACCACAAGTTTTTTAAGAATGAATTTAGTGTTTCGCAGAAGACTAACCACAAATCTTTCATATGTAATAGTTAAAAGAGTACAAAAATCAAAGTTTATTTGTTCTTTAACACTCACTCACAAACAAATCTATAGAAAACAATTGGTGGAAAACACGTGATAAAAGTTATCTCACCTTGTTCCCGAAGACGGCTGACTGTTGGCCTGGGGCGGTGTAGTTGCTGGCGTCGGAGAGAACCGTGGAGATGATGGCGGAGTTGATGGGGAAACCATGGTTAGCATCTGGGGGGTACTCTGTCCACTTGAGGAATGCTCGCTCAAACTCGTAGCTGATTGTTGTGACTGAGTTAGCTCGGAGTCGGAACACTATCTCAAACTGATAAGATCTAATACGGTCTTTGCCAGGGATGTAGTGGATTTTGACTGGAGAAGAAAAATAACAACATGATTCAAGTTTGATGTATGCTTGGAAATAGCACTGAATAACTAAACACTGCATAACATTCACCAGGGGTCTGGCAGGGGTGGGGCTACTCACACTGTCTGGTGGTGGGAATAGCAGTATGGGGGCCAGGGATCTGGCAGGGGTGGGGCTACACACACTGTGTGGTGGTGGGGGTACCAGCATGGGGGCCAGGGGTCTGGCAGGGGTGGGGCTACTCACACTGTCTGGTGGTGGGGGTAGCAGCATGGGGGCCAGGAGTCTGGTAGGGGTGGGGCTACTCACACTGTCTGGTGGTGGGAATAGCAGCATGGGGACCAGGGGTCTGGCAGGGGTGGGGCTACACACACACTGTCTGGTGGTGGGGTAGCAGCATGGGGGCCAGGGGTCTGGCAGGGGTGGGGCTACTCACACTGTCTGGTGGTGGGGTAGCAGCATGGGGCCAGGAGGGGTCTGGCAGGGGTGGGGCTACACACACTGTCTGGTGGTGGGGAATAGCAGCATGCCAGGAATCTGGCAGGGGGGGGTCTGGTCTGGGGTGGGGCTACAGCCCACACAGTCTGGCAGGGGTGGGTGGTAGCAGTATGTGGGGGCCATGGGGGGAGTCAGGGGTCAGTCACTCACACTGTCTGGTGGTGGGGGTAGCAGCATGGGGGCCAGGGGTCTGGCAGGGGTGGGGCTACACACACTGTCTGTGGTGGGGTAGCAGCATGGGGCCAGGGCTCTGGCAAGGGGTGGGGCTACTCACACTGTCTGGTGGTGGGAATAGCAGTATGGGGGCCAGGGGTCTGGCAGGGGTGGGCTACACACACTGTGGTGGTGGTGGGGGTAGCAGCATGGAGGCCAGGGTCTGGCAGGGGTTGGGCTACACACACTGTCTGGTGGTGGGGTAGAAGCATATGGGGGCCAAGGGTCTGGCAGGGTGGGGCTACACACACTGTCTGGTGGTGTGGGTAGAGAAGTATGGGGGCCAGGGGTCTGGCAGGGATGGGGCTACACACACTGTCTGGTGGTGGGGGTAGCAGTATGGGGGCCAGGGGTCTGGCAGGGGTGGGGCTACTCACACTGTCTGGTGGTGGGGGTAGAAGTATGGGGGCAAAGGGTCTGGCAGGGATGGGGCTACACACACTGTCTGGTGGTGTGGGTAGAAGTATGGGGGCCAGGGGTGTATTGCTCATGGTGGTGATGGTACTCACAGGGACGGATGATGACACCATTGTTCTTTATGGTGAGGGTCTTGTAGAAGACTCGCATGAACCATGGCAAGGTGTCCATGTAGATGACGGTCAAGTTGGATGACAGCGTGTTGTGGATTTCACACATCACACCTCCTCGTTCAAGGCCATAACCTGAAGACACAGACATACAGTGATCACACAACAATATCACAGTAATTACATTCACACACATAGTGCTGAGAGTCGGTACGCGGACATATACAGTGATTACATTCACATAGTGGTGACATACAGCAGTGATCACATAACCGATATCACAGTGATTACATTCACATAGTGGTGAGAGTCGGTAGCCACGGACATACACTGATCACACAACAATATCACAGTGATTACATTCACATAGTGGTGAGAGTCGGTACACGGACATACAGTGATCACACACCGATATCACAGTGATTACATTCACATAGTGGTGAGTGTCGGTACACGGACATAGAGTGATCACACAACAATATCACAGTGATTACATTCACATAGTGGTGAGTGTCGGTACACGGACATACAGTGATCACACAACAATATCACAGTGATTACATTCACATAGTGGTCACACAACAATATCGTAATTACATTCACATAGTGGTGACGGACATACAGTGATCACACAACAATATCACAGTGATTACATTCACATAGTGGTGAGTGTCGATCACGGACATACAGTGATCACACAACAATATCACAGTAATTACATTCACATAGTGGTGAGTGTCGGTACACGGACATAGAGTGATCACACACCGATATCACAGTGATTACATTCACATAGCGGTGAGTGTCGGTACACGGACATACAGTGATCACACCGATATCACAGTGATTACATTCACATAGTGGTGAGTGTCGGTACACGGACATACAGTGATCACACAACAATATCACAGTAATTACATTCACATAGTGGTGAGTGTCGGTTACCACGGACATACAGTGATCACACAACAATATCACAGTGATTACATTCACATAGTGGTGAGTGTCGGTACACGGACATACAGTGATCACACAACAATATCACAGTAATTACATTCACATAGTGGTGAGTGTCGGTACACGGACATAGAGTGATCACACAACAATATCACAGTGATTACATTCACATAGTGGTGAGTGTCGGTACACGGACATACAGTGATCACACAACAATATCACAGTGATTACATTCACATAGTGGTGACATCGGTCGGACATACAGTGATCACACACCGATATCACAACGGACATACAGTGATCACACACCGATATCACAGTGATTACATTCACATAGTGCTGAGCATCGGTACCGCGGACATACAGTGATCACACAATATATCAGTAATTACATCACACAACGGATAAGTGATCACACAACAATATCACAGTAATTACATTCACATAGTGGTGAGAGTCGGTACACGGACATACAGTGATCACACAACAATATCACAGTGATTACATTCACATAGTGGTGAGTGTCGGTACACGGACATACAGTGATCACATAACGATATCACAGTAATTACATTCACATAGTGGTGAGTGTCGGTACACGGACATACAGTGATCACACACCGATATCACAGTAATTACATTCACATAATGGTGAGAGTCGGTACTGCGGACATACAGTGATCACACACGATATCAAGTGATTATCATTCTCATAGCGGTGATTACAGTGATCACACAATATCATAGTGATTACATTCACATAGTGCTGAGTGTCGGTACACGGACATACAGTGATCACACACCGATATCACAGTGATGACATTCACACAGCTGAGTGTCTGATAGCGAAGGTGGTAAATGGGTGCCTGGGCATGGCTGAGGCACTTGCAGGTCTGTTGGCAGCTGGTACCTAGGTCAGGTGGTTGTGTGTACCTGGGTCAGGAGGTTGTGTGTACTTGGTCAGGAGGTTGTGTGTACCTGGGTAGGAGGTTGTGTGTACTTGGTCAGGAGGTCGTGTGTACCTGGGTAGGAGGTTGTGTGTACCTGGGTCAGGAGGTTGTGTGTACCTGGGTCAGGAGGTTGTGTGTGTACCTGGGTAGGAGGTTGTGTGTACCTGGGGCAGAAGGTTGTCTGTTTGAAACTGACCTGTGATGTATCGCTGAGTAAACAATGGGGGAGGTTGAATGTCAAAGAAGGTGAGGGCACTGTCAAATTTGGCTGCGATGTTGAGGACCTTCCCACCAGAGGTAGCCTCCCCAACATCATACACTGCATAAGTCCTTGATTCTTGGCCACGGACAAAGCTCTCTCGACGGGCTGGTTCCGGCGTCAGCTTGAATTTCTTGTCCTGCAGCAGAAAATACAGTTACTTTGGTTACCAGAGCCTGGAATCATTGTGACTACTTGTAACAGATAAACAACAAATAAGCCAACATACAGGGGTGTAAACCAACATACAGGGGTGCAAGCCAACATACAGGGGTGCAATCCAACATACAGGGGTGTAAACCAACATACAGGGGTGTAAGCCAACATACAGGGGTGTAAGCCAACATACAGGGGTGTAAGCCAACATACAGGAGTGTGTAAGCCAACATACAGGGGTGTAAGCCAACATACAGGGTGTAGTAGCCAACATACAGGGGTGTAAGCCAACATACAGGGGTGTAAGCCAACATACAGGGGTGTAAGCCAACATACAGGGGTGTAAGCCAACATACAGGGGTGTGTAAGCCAACATACAGGGTGTGTAAGCCAACATACAGGGTGTAAGCCAACATACAGCATGTGTAAGCCAACATACAGGGGTGTAAGCCAACATACAGGGGTGTAAGCCAACATACAGGGGTGTGTAAGCCAACATACAGGGGTGTAGCCAACATACAGGGGTGTAAGCCAACATACAGGGGTGTAAGCCAACATACAGGGGTGTGTAAGCCAACATACAGGAGTGTGTAAGCCAACATACAGGGGTGTGTAAGCCAACATACAGGGGTGTGTAAGCCAACATACAGGGGTGTGTAAGCCAACATACAGGGGTGTAAGCCAACATACAGGGGTGTAAGCCAACATACAGAGTGTAAGCCAACATACAGGGGTGTAAGCCAACATACAGGGGTGTAAGCCAACATACAGGGTGTAAGCCAACATACAGGGGTGTAAGCCAACATACAGGGGTGTAGCCAACATACAGGAGTGTAAGCCAACATACAGGAGTGTAAGCCAACATACAGGGGTCTAAGCCAACATACAGGGGTGTAAGCCAACATACAGGGGTGTAAGCCAACAAACAGGGTGTAAGCCAACATACAGGGGGTGTAAGCCAACATACAGGTCGAGACATCGGTGTAAGCCAACATACAGGAGTTGTGAAGGAAATCTTCTTCAAGGACCAATCTAAACACAAAGTAAACATCAGAACTATGAATGGTTGTCATGATGATGATGCTAGAGGTAGATGCCAGTGATGATGATGCTAGAGGTAGATGCCAGTGATGATGATGCTAGAGGTAGATGCCAGTGATGATGATGCTAGAGGTAGATGCCAGTGATGATGATGCTAGAGGTAGATGCCAGTGATGATGATGCTAGAGGTAGATGCCAGTGATGATGATGCTAGAGGTAGATGCCAGTGATGATGATGCTAGAGGTAGATGCCAGTGATGATGATGCTAGAGGTAGATGCCAGTGATGACTGATGCTAGAGGTAGATGCCATGACTGATGCTGAGGTGATGCCAGTGATGATGATAGAGGTAGATGCCAGTGATGACTGATGCTAGAGGTAGATGCCAGTGATGATGATGCTAGAGGTAGATGCCAGTGATGATGATGCTAGAGGTAGATGCCAGTGATGACTGATGCTAGAGGTAGATGCCAGTGATGATGATGCTAGAGGTAGATGCCAGTGATGATGATGCTGACTGATGCTAGAGGTAGATGCCAGTGATGATGATGCTGAGGAGATGCCAGTGATGAGTGATGATGATGGTAGAGGTAGATGCCAGTGATGATGATGCTAGAGGTAGATGCCAGTGATGATGATGCTAGAGGTAGATGCCAGTGATGATGATGCTAGAGGTAGATGCCAGTGATGATGATGCTAGAGGTAGATGCCAGTGATGATGATGCTAGAGGTAGATGCCAGTGATGATGATGCTAGAGGTAGATGCCAGTGATGATGATGCTAGAGGTAGATGCCAGTGATGATGATGCTAGAGGTAGATGCCAGTGATGATGATGCTAGAGGTAGATGCCAGTGATGATGATGCTAGAGGTAGATGCCAGTGATGATGATGCTAGAGGTAGATGCCAGTGATGATGATGCTAGAGGTAGATGCCAGTGATGACTGATGCTAGAGGTAGATGCCAGTGATGATGATGCTAGAGGTAGATGCCAGTGATGATGATGCTAGAGGTAGATGCCAGTGATGATGATGCTAGAGGTAGATGCCAGTGATGATGATGCTAGAGGTAGATGCCAGTGATGATGATGCTAGAGGTAGATGCCAGTGATGATGATGCTAGAGGTAGATGATGATGCTAGAGGTAGATGCCAGTGATGATGATGCTAGAGGTAGATGCCAGTGATGATGCTAGAGGTAGATGCCAGTGATGATGATGCTAGAGGTAGATGCCAGTGATGATGATGCTAGAGGTAGATGCCAGTGATGACTGATGCTAGAGGTAGATGCCAGTGATGACTGATGCTAGAGGTAGATGCCAGTGATGACTGATGCTGGTGTGACAAGCAGCTGGAGTAACATGATGTCAGTAGAAGTTGAATAACGACTGATATGACTGTTGCTGGAGATGAATGCATTCAGTTATGAGGGTCTACTCACTGGTATAACCCATAGTTGTACTCAGTGGTATAACCAATAGTTGTACTCACTGGTATAACCCATAGTTGTACTCACTGGTATAACCAATAGTTGTACTCACTGGTATAACCCATAGTTGTACTCACTGGTATAACCCATAGTTGTACTCACTGGTATAACCCAATAGTTGTGTTGTACTCACTGGTATAACCCATTCAGTTATAACCCACTCACTGGTATAAACCCATAGTTGTACTCACTGGTATAACCCATAGTTGTACTCACTGGTATAACCCATAGTTGTACTCACTGGTATAACCCATGGTTGTACTCACTAGAATATTGATCTTCATAACCCATGCTTGCTGTACTCACTGGTATAACCCACTGTTGTACTCACTGGCATAACCCATTGTTGTACTCACTGGTATAACCCATTGTTGTACTCACTGGTATAACCCACTGTTGTACTCACTGGTATAACCCATTGTTGTACTCACTGGTATAACCTACTGTTGTACTCACTGGTATAACCCATTACTGTTGTACTCACTGGCATAACCCACTCTTGTACTCACTGGTATAACCCACTGTTGTACTCACTGGTATAACCCATTGTTGTACTCACTGGCATAACCCATTGTTGTAATCACTGGTATAACCCATTGTTGTACTTACTGGTATAACCCACTGTTGTACTCACTAGCATAACCCACTGTTGTACTGACTGGAATGACATGGTGTTTACTTACTAGTATAACCCACTGTTGTACTGACTGGAATGACATGATGTTTACTTACTTGGATAGCCCATGGTTGTACTGACTGGAATGACATGTTTACTTACTTGGATAGCCCATGGTTGTACTGACTGGGATGACATGATGTTTACTTACTTGGATAGCCCATGGTTGTACTGACTGGGATGACATGGTGTTTACTTACTTGGATAGCCCATGGTTGTACTGACTGGAATGACATGATGTTTACTTACTTGGATAGCCCATGGTTGTACTGACTGGAATGACATGTTTACTTACTTGGATAGCCCATGGTTGTACTGACTGGGATGACATGATGTTTACTTACTTGGATAGCCCATGGTTGTACTGACTGGAATGACATGTTTACTTACTTGGATAGCCCATGGTTGTACTGACTGGGATGACATGTTTACTTACTTGGATAGCCCATGGTTGTACTGACTGGGATGACATGGTGTTTACTTACTTGGATAGCCCATGGTTGTACAGACTGGGATGACATGATGTTTACTTACTTGGATAGCCCATGATTGTACTGACTGGGATGACATGATGTTTACTTACTTGGATAGCCAGCGTTGATGACGGTTGTGTCGACTACCACTGACAGACTGAGGCTGAGTTCTATTGCTTGTTGCCTGCACTCAGCGTCCTGGAAAGTCAACATACCAATGCCAGAACAATCTTGTCACAACTTGTCAAAACCTCAGTCATACATTTTCACAAAAATCCTTCATATATCAACAGAAATCTGTTCATGAGAAATAATTATACCAGCAGCACATTACTGCTATTACTAGTTTCTCAAACTGAGACTAAGGATGGGACATGAAGTATTTTTAAAAAATGATGACACATTTTTCACACAAAAAAGAAAATTCATTTTAGAGAAAAATGGAATTTTTATGATAAAATTAATTTTTATACTTATCCTGACTCATGCTTATTTGCTTTCTCATCCTCTCTTCCGAACGGTCAAGTGGAAACTTGAATCCCTTCAATTCCCTGGAAGCGAACGTACAATCACTCACCCTGAATTACCTCCCTTTTCCCACCAAAACTGGCACGGGACCTGCCATGCCTTGCTCCTCTCTCTCTCTGATATAAGCCCCACGCAGGTTTACAGGGAAACCCGTGTGGTGAGAGGGGACGGTTGGGAGGGCTTCTTTTCATGACTCAGGATAAGTATAAAATAAGTAATTTTTTAAGTAAAATTGATATTTTATACTTATCCTGACTCATGATCTTTTGCATATCTCCCTTTCCCTTTCAAATGGTAGTGGAACACTTGAATCCCTTCAAGTTCCCGAAGCGGATGTTTAAATACACTCACCCACGAGTTACCTCCCTTGCCCTTTCCCGCGCAAACCATATCAATAACATGTGACGTGTCCATACTTGTCACTCTCTCCTTATTTCCAGCCCATGCACTTGGATCTGCTGTGAAATATCAAGTGTTTCCAGCGGGGAGGCTGGGAGGGTTTCTGGTCATGAGTCAGGATAAGTATAAAATATCAATTTTACTTTAAAAATTACATATTTTTACTTATCCTGACTCATGATCTTTTGCTTATAGAATCTGACAGATTGGTGGTGGGTCAAGCCACTGGATTCAACAGCTGTCCTTAGATACGAGCTGCATCCCCCCAATGAGAACTGCTAACCGTTATAACTTGGGGGGACCACTTTCTTGTCTTACTTCCATCTTAGACAAGTTGCATCATGTTGATTCATGTGGCTACAGATAAACTAGATAAACTAGATATCTTATATCAACCCATAGATTATGATAAGATCGTTATCATAAATGAGTTGCGACCCCTTTACGTACAGGTAAGATCTGTACCCGTACAGGATCTTTAATCACTCATGCTAGCCTGTGCTAGACTGTGCGCATGGACTTTCAACTAGTATTATTCCTTAGTAAAAGTATCTACAAGTCAACTTGATAAAGGGTGAGATTTTCCAATTCAGCGCCTTTGTGGAACCATTGGTTGCTGTGCTACAACGAGAGGTCCAAATTGGTGAATGCCTGAGACGTCTTCAGTGGCTATGTCTCGGAGGTAGTGGTTGGCAAACACTGTGTCCGACTTCCAAAAGCAGCCCTCCATAATTGTTGGTATAGAGCAATTTCTGTGCAGAGCCAGTGTTGACTTCGTGTGGGTTGGAAAGTCTAGGAGGTTCTAGTCCTGCTGCTTTATAGGCCCTCAATATAACGGCTCTCATCCAGAACGATATAGGCGTTCTTGAGACTTCTGCTGAAGTCTGTGTTGATATTGGGATGAACAGGCGCTTGAATTTTTGTCTCCTCGTTTCAGTCTTTTGAAGATATATCTTCAGGGCTCTGACTGGACACAAGGATAAATCCTCTATAACCTGTGGACCAAGGACTGTAGACAGCGCCGGTACATGGAACTGTCTATCTGGTTGACCAGGTAGTTGGTTCTTGGCAATAAAGTCCCATCTTAGTCCTAGATGAACTGCATTATTCTGCCCTCTGTCGAAGGTGGTTCGACCAAAGTCCAGCGCATGTTTCTCCGATATGCCAGCTGCTGTGGCTACCGCCAGCAGGAACAGAGTCTTCTGTGTTAGTAGCTCGAGTGTAATCTAGTGGTTTGTAGACATCACTGGTAAGATGACGCAGAATTAAATTTAGATCCCAGGCTGGAGCTCTGAATTTCTTTTGCTGGTCCTCCAGCTTAAAAGATCTCAGCAGAGCAAGTAATTCTGGTACTTTCGTCAGCTTGATGCCTGTTTTCATAGTAATCACTGTACTGATCGCAGCGAGGTATGTAGATATTGTCGAACCCTTCAGATGTCTGGTCTGTCTAAGATGACACAGATATTCCGCCACTTGAGGATGAGTGGCTATCATCGCAGTGAAGCCTTTCCGCCTTGCATAAGTGTCCATTTTTAACCATTTGTCGTCATATAGGTTACGAGTCGATCTGCGTACCCTAGCATTACTGCTTTGGATGCCCTGGCGGAGTATTCTCTTTTCTTCAAGCATGTTTTGATACTGTCCACATGTGTAACTGGAACACTGTTGGGTTTCTGGGACTTGCTTGGTGTGCGGATGTATTAGTAGGTTCGGACAATCTGGTAATTTGATAACTGGGTTTCCGAGATCTATTAGGTCTGGGAACCACGCTCTCGCTGGCTAGTAAGGCGCGACCAAAGTCAGTTGTAGCGTCTGAGTCTGCTTGATCTTTTGGCAGTAATATCGTGGGTGGAAAAGCGTAGCCGTTTAATCCTTCCGACGACATGCTCAGTGCATCTGTTGCCCAGGCTTGAGGACTGAGTGACTGAGTTTAGTTTTACGCCGCTTTTAGCAATATTCCAGCAACATTCCAGCAACATCACGGCGGGGGACACCAGAAATGGGCTTCACACATTGTGCCCATGTGGGGAATCGAACCCGGGTCTTCGGGGTGAAGAGCCAACGCTTTAACAACTAGGCTACCCCACCGCCCCCCCAGGCTTGAGGATCTGGAACAGGTGAGACAAACGTCTCTAGTTGTTTGTTGAACCTCGTGGCAAACAGGTCTATGCAAGGGGATGCTATCTCCCTTATGTTCCGAAACACTTCTGGATGGAGCATCCATTTCGTAGGTGACAGGTGTAGTGGTCTTGAGAGAGCGTCTGCCAGTACGTTCTTGGCTCCGGGTATGTGACACGCCTTTATCCAGGCTTATGGAGAACGCTACTGTAGAATTGTCCGTATGTATCATCAACATCTTGTTGTTCAGCAAGCTCGACCATAGTTGTAAGGTGTTGATCACAGCTTTCATCTCTAGTAGATTGATGTGCAGTTTTTGTTCTATTTTGGACCACTTTCCTGAGGCCACTTGATCGTTGAGATGCGCACCCCATCCTTGCATCAAGGCATCTGCGTAGAGATGCGTGTCGAAGGCCGGCTCTTGTAAATAGGTCCCTTCGCAAATGTTCGACCTGTGTGTCCACCACAGTAGACAGCTCCTGAGGTTTTCCGGCAGAAAGATAGGGTCGACGCTGTCTAAATGTTTTATCAGGAACCGTTGCAGCGGTCTTAGTTGTAACCTTCCTGTGCGCGTCAAGTCCTGCGCTGAGGTTAGCAGACCGAGTAGCACTTGCTATGATTGTAGTGTTAGCGGAGAGATGACTGCTGGCGGAATCATGGCTTGTATCTTGACCCAGCGATCCTCTGGGACGGCAATCTTTTCTGTGTGGTGATAAACCTTATCCCCAGGAATTGTAGATCTTGTTTTGGTTCCAACTCTGACTTCCTCAGGTTCACCAGCCATCCTAGTTGAGTGAGCAACTTGATCGTGAAGTTCAGTTGTCGTTTGAGTATACTGGCATCTTGGTGAACCTGAATTCCGTCGTCCAAGTAAAAGGCATTGCGTAGACCTCGATGATGTAGGTATGAGACTATAGGCTTGGTTATTCATGTGAATAGCCACGGAGCCGAAGATATTCCAAACGGTAGGACTTTCTATGGGAAGTGCGGCCCTCTGAATAGGAACCGTAGATACCTTCTTGATTCCTGATGTATCGGGATATGAAGGTATGCATCCTGCAAGTCTATGCTGGCCATGTAATCTGCTGGAAGGATGAGAAGTTTGAGTTGAGGCAGGTGGATCATTTTGAACCTCTCTGGTTTCAGTAGATAGTCTTTGTTGAATTTGCGCTTGTTGTAAATGTGATGCCGTATAAGGGACTCCAGTGCTCGCCCAACCATCCGCTTGGGCGAAAAGGGAAAGAGTGACAATTAAGGCACGTCACATGACTAGTTTCTTGTGAGGAAAGGGCAAAGGGAGGTAACTCGTGGGTGAGTGTATTCATATGTCCGCTTCGGGAACTTCAAGGGATTCAAGTGTTCCACTACCATTCGAAGAGGAAAAGGGACATAAGCAACAGATCATGAGTCAGGATAAGGAAAAATAAAAACGTTCTAACATGGCGAAAGGTTTATAGAGTTTGGAATAGCTGACCTGGCAGACTGGCCTGAAGTGAGTGGCTAGTGAATGGTAGGCAGCATCGTAGAGCTTCACAGCCTTGAACAGAGTCGCAAGCCCCACCTGGTGGCAGACACATTACATTCAGCAACAAAGAAAAACAATTCCTCTAAGAACTACCATTGAACCGATGTATATGTTTCAGAAGTGGCACATTGAGGAGGAGCATGATGGAGTGAGTCATGTTGTTGATCATGTGACAGTCATCCTACCTTGGTGTCGCATGGGAGAAGCTTCTTCCACGGGGTGAGATTCTCCGTACACACAATCTCACTTGGCAGGGCTCCGTAACGAACAAACTTGCTACTGTAGGAGTAGCCCTCGGTGGCCACACCCCTTGGCCGGAAACTCCATTTGGGGGCAACGGTTGATTTACCATCCAGGAAATTAAGTGAGGTGCAGAACAGTCCTGACACAGCATTGACGAGCTCGGCCCACGTCTGATCCACACTGGGAACAAAACGTACAGGAGTCAAGCAACATCGTCACTCACACAAGCTGTATTGCAAAGGACCATTGAAAACGTTTGTGCATGGTATGGTACAAGTGCGGAGGGTATGGTACAAGTGTGGACGGTATGGTACAAGTGTAGAGGGTATGGTACAAGTGCAGAGGGTATGGTACTAGTGCGGAGGGTATGGTACAAGTATGGTGGGTATGGTACAAGTGTGGAGGGTATGGTACAAGTGTGGAGGGTATGGTACAAGTGTGGAGGGTATGGTACAAGTGTGGAGGGTATGGTACAAGTGTGGAGGGTATGGTACAAGTGTAGAGGGTATGGTACAAGTGTGGAGGGTATGGTGTAGAGGTATGGTACAAGTGTGGGAGGGTATGGTACAAGTGTAGAGGGTATGGTACAAGTGTGTTGAGGAGGGTATGGTACAAGTGTGGAGGGTATGGTACAAGTGTGGAGGGTATGGTACAAGTGTGGAGGGGTATGGTACAAGTGTGAGGGTATGGTACAACATGGTATGGTACAAGTGTAGAGGGTATGGTACAAGTGTGGAGAGGGTATGGTACAAGTGTGGAGGGGTATGGTACAAGTGTGAGGAGGGTATGGTACAAGTGTGGAGGGTATGGTACAAGTGTGGGAGGGTATGGTACAAGTGTGGAGGGTATGGTACAAGTACAAGTGTGGAGGGTATGGTACAAGTGTACAAGTGTACAAGGGTATGGTACAAGTGTAGAGGGTATGGTACAAGGGTATTGTACAAGTAGAGGGTATGGTACAAGTGTGGAGGGTATGGTACAAGTGTGGAGGGTATGGTACAAGGGTATTGTACAAGTGTAGTGGGTATGGTACAAGTGTGGAGGGTATGGTACAAGTGTGGAGGGTATGGTACAAGTGTGGAGGGTATGGTACAAGTGTGGAGGGTATGGTACAAGTGTAGAGGGTATGGTACAAGTGTAGAGGGTATGGTACAAGTGTGGTAGAGGGTATGGTACAAGTGGAGGGTATGGTACAAGTGTGGTATGGTACAAGTGTGGAAGGGTATGGTACAAGTGTGGAGGGTATGGTATGGTGTACAAGTGTATGGTACAAGTGTGGAGGGTATGGTACAAGTGTGAGGGAGGGGTGAGGGTATGGTACAAGTGGTAGTGGGGGTATGGTACAAGTGTGGAGGGTATGGTACAAGTGTGGAGGGTATGGTACAAGTGTAGGGGGGTATGGTACAAGTGTACAAGGGTATGGTACAAGTGTACAAGTGTGGGGTATGGTACAAGTGTGGAGGGTATGGTACAAGTGTTGAGGGGTATGGTACAAGTGTGGGGGTATGGTACAAGTGTAGAGGGTATACAAGTGTGGGGGGTACAAGTGTGGAGGGGTATGGGGTATGGTACAAGGGGTGTACAAGTGTGGAGGGTATGGTACAAGTGTGGAGGGTATGGTACAAGTGTGGAGGGTATGGTACAAGTGTAGAGGGTATGGTACAAGTGTGGAGGGTATGGTACAAGTGTGGAGGGTATGGTACAAGTGTGGAGGGTATGGTACAAGTGTGAGGGAGGGTATGGTACAAGTGTGGAGAGGTATGGTATGGTACAAGTGTGGAGGGTATGGTACAAGTGTGGAGGGGTATGGTACAAGTGTGGAGGGTATGGTACAAGAATGTATGGTACAATGGTACAAGGGTATGGTACAAGTGTGGAGGGGTATGGTACAAGTGTATGGTAGGGGTATGGTACAAGTGTACAAGGGGTATGGTACAAGTGTGGAGGGGTATGGTACAAGTGTGGAGGGTATGGTACAAGTGTGGAGAGGGTATGGTACAAGTGTGGAGGGTATGGTACAAGTGTAGAGGGTAGGGTATGGTACAAGTGTGGAGGGTATGGTACAAAGGGGTATGTACAAGTGTGGAGGGTATGGTACAAGTGTGGAGGGTATGGTACAAGTGTGGAGGTAGGGTATGGTACAAGTGTGGAGGGTATGGTACAAGTGTGGAGGGTATGGTACAAGTGTGGAGAGGTATGGTACAAGTGTGGAGGGTATGGTACAAGTGTGGAGTGTGGAGGGTATGGGTACAAGTGTGGAGGGTATGGTACAAGTGTGGAGGGTATGGTACAAGTGTGGAGAGGGTATGGTACAAGTGTAGAGGGTATGGTACAAGTGTAGAGGGTATGGTACAAGTGTGGAGAGGGTATGGTACAAGTGTAGAGGGTATGGTACAAGTGTGGAGGGTATGGTACAAGTGTGTGAGGGTATGGTACAAGTGTATTGTAGGGGTGTGGTAGGTATGGTACAAGGGTAGAGGGTACAAGTGTGGAGGGGTATGGTACAAGTGTGAGGGGGTAGTACAAGTGTAGAGGGGTATGGTACAAGTGTGGAGGGTATGGTACAAGTGTGGAGGGGTATGGTACAAGTGTAGAGGGGTATGGTACAAGTGTGGAGGGGTATGGTACAAGTGTAGAGGGTATGGTACAAGTGTAGGTAGGGTATGGTACAAGTGTAGAGGGTATGGTACAAGTGTGGAGGGTATGGTACAAGTGTGGAGGGTATGGTACAAGTGTGGAGGGTATGGTACAAGTGTGGAGGGTATGGTACAAGTGTACATATGGTACAAGTGTAGAGGGTATGGTACAAGTGTAGAGGGTATGGTACAAGTGTGGGATGGGGTATGGTACAAGTGTGTAGAGGGGTATGGTACAAGTGTGGAGGGTATGGTACAAGGGTATTGTACAAGTGTGGAGGTATGGTACAAGTGTAGAGGGTATGGTACAAGTGTGGAGGGTATGGTACAAGTGTAGAGGGTATGGTACAAGTGTGGAGGGTATGGTACAAGTGTGGAGGGTATGGTACAAGTGTGGAGGGTATGGTACAAGTGTGGAGGGTATGGTACAAGTGTGGAGGGTATGGTACAAGTGTAGAGGGTATGGTACAAGTGTGAAGGGTATGGTACAAGTGTGGAGGGTATGGTACAAGTGTGTAGAGGGTATGGTACAAGTGTAGAGGGTATGGTACAAGTGTAGAGGGTATGGTACAAGTGTAGAGGGTATGGTACAAGTGTAGAGGGTATGGTACAAGTGTAGAGGGTATGGTACAAGTGTGGAGGGTATGGTACAAGTGTGGAGGGTATGGTACAGTGTTATGGTACAAGTGTAGAGGGTATGGTACAAGTGTAGAGGGTATGGTACAAGTGTAGAAGGGGTACAAGTGTAGAGTGGGTATGGTACAAGTGTGGAGGGTATGGTACAAGTGTAGAGGGTATGGTACAAGTGTGGAGGTATGGTACAAGTGTAGAGGGTATGGTACAAGTGTAGAGGGTATGGTACAAGTGTGAGGGTATGGTACAAGTGTGAGGGTATGTTACAAGTGTAGAGGGTATGGTACAAAGTGTAGAGGGTATGGTACAAGTGTGAGGGTATGGTACAAGTGTAGAGGGTATGGTACAAGTGTGGAGGGTATGGTACAAGGGTATGGTACAAGTGTAGAGGGTATGGTACAAGTGTAGGGGTATGGTACAAGTGTGAGGGTATGGTACAAGTGTAGAGGGTATGGTACAAGTGTAGAGGGTATGGTACAAGTGTAGGGGTATGGTACAAGTGTAGAGGGTATGGTACAAGTGTAGAGGGTATGGTACAAGTGTAGGGAGGTATGGTATATGGTACAAGTGTGGAGGGTATGGTACAAGTGTGGAGGGTATGGTACAAGTGTGGAGGGTATGGTACAAGTGTAGAGGGTATGGTACAAGTGTAGAGGGTATGGTACAAGTGTGAGGGTATGGTACAAGTGTAGAGGGTATGGTACAAGTGTGGAGGGTATGAGTACAAGTGTGGAGGGTATGGTACAAGTGTGGAGGGTATGGTACAAGTGTAGAGGGGTATGTAGGGTGTAAGTTACGGGTATGGTACAAGTGTGTAGAGGGTATGGTACAAGTGTGGAGGGTATGGTACAAGTGTAGAGGGTATGGTACAAGTGTAGAGGGTATGATACAAGTGTGGAGGGTATGGTACAAGTGTAGAGGGTATGGTACAAGTGTAGAGGGTATGGTACAAGTGTAGAGGGTATGGTACAAGTGTAGAGGGTATGGTACAAGTGTAGAGGGTATGGTACATGTGTAGAGGGTATGGTACAAGTGTAGAGGGTATGGTACAAGTGTTGGTGAGGTGAGGTGAAATTGGGTTTAACACCGTGCTACAGGAGAATATACAGCTCATATGATGACGCATGCATGTACAAGTGTTTGTGGTGTCGGCTGCATGTTAGAGTACTAGCCCTGACTTGCTGGTTTTATAGTGCTAGCCCACTGAGATACCATGCCGCAGTGAAGCATGAATACCCCACTCAGACACATTATACTGACTCCGAGCCGACCAGTCTTTGTTGTACCCATTAATGCTGAGCGCCAGGCTGGGACCAACAAGTACCATATCTTAAACGTCTTTTGGTTTGACACGGTCGGGTCGAAATTATGATACAAGCTTCCTCCGGGCGGACGCTTCTAACCACTACACCACGGAGGCGGTCGGTACAAGTGTAGAGGGTATGGTACAAGTGTAGAGGGTATGGCAGTACATTGGTACAAGTGTACATGGTGCACCAGTGATTAAAGCCAAATATAAGAAAAATATATTTAACTTTACTTTTTCACAGTTGGTTTGAACCAAACCCAGAATTCGGCTCCAGGTGGGGCATCTTCCACTGGGTACCCCCATTTCTCATGGCGCCAGAGGCCCTGGGTCTGAGACAGGTGCAGCTCTTGTACCCCATACGTAGAGACAACATCGCCCAAAGACTTTGGGAACAGCCGATAGTGATGAACTGGAAGAAAATAAAATTTGGTTAATCAACCAATAGGGTAAATGAGATAGCTAACTCACAAATAACCCTAAAGAATGTAAAGGGATGTCTCCTCAAGCCGTGAGTCAAGGGGTATCCAAAAGAAAGGATATTAGATGGGAAAGGGGTGCCAGACCCTAATACAGTGTTTCTGTTCTCCGGTATATACCTGAAAATCGCCAGTACAATTCATTGGGGACCGGTAAATTGAAAGCCAGCCGGACAACGTGTCAAGTAAATATTCGTGTACTAAAATTTAAAAAATCATGGGTAAGCGAAATGACAGTCTTGGCTGTGCTTTCATGGTCACAAAAATGTTATGTTTTGGAAATACTCAGGCTAAAACTTTAAAATGAGTACTTACAGTATGGTAATAGGATATGACCGACAAATTTCATTCATGACCGGTAAAATTTTAGGTCGCCAGAGAGTGTCCGATAAATAATTAAGTCAGCGGAAACACTGTAATAATTGTGAAGGGGTACAGGATCAGAAGGGTCCCAAGGGCTACAGATGGACCTGGATATAACATAAACGCAAATGACTCAAACGCAGCAATGTCAGTAACCATGATATTGGTAAAGTAAGAGTCACAGGAAGGTGCACCTGTGCGAGTTCTAAATGCTGAAGTAAAGCCCTAGTGAGGGTTTGTCTGCTCAACATGTGCTCAGTAAACTGCTCTCTGGCTCCTGCACCTACTTGCATTCACTACAATGTTGCCTACAAAGAGTTTACCACACTAATGCAAGATGCACTATTATCCCAAAGCAAGCTGTGTTCGATGTTCTGGTGATTTCGACGATTGCATTGCTTGCACTATATTTGGGTAGTATGTGCGCAATCGGAGAGCACAAGCAATTTCATCAGCAGGGCAGATGCCCAGTCACTATCATGAGAAGTTTTATTGACAATTGGAAGTTAAGTTGCATAAAAAGTAAACAAACATCAATATTATGTACCCGAGATCGTTAATACCACTTCAGATGCAAAATCAATTGCCTTTATAACAGAAAATAGCAAGCAAAAATTCATTGTAAGATTAGTCCTCTGCTAGTGACAGGCAGTATATAAATGGGAAGCCACATGATCACAACACTCCCTCTCTGTGCGGAGCAAAAAGTATGACTCATTGTCGAAAACCCATACAAAATGCCTGGATGTGGCGAGCGGCAACAGTTTCGCCAATACGTAGCCGAGAGCCGCGATGCGGTCCTATACAGTCAAGACATGACCCTGCATCACGGCCGAGAACACCACCTTCATAAATCCTATTCAGATTCAAGTGGTCGATTACCCCTCGTATTTTCTTGAGATTTTTTAAATATATTTCCTGTGGGTGTTTGACTGAAAAGTCGATATCGATGTACTCCCAGATAATTTCCCTATACATACACGTAACTGTCATATTTTGGTGATCATACATTTAGATATTAATGGGCCTGAAGCCCGTTGAGTTCTTGTTTCAACGATAGCGAGCTGACATGTTGTGCGATACCAAATTTCTATAGTCCGTGATCGAGGACGCTCTTCATTAGCTGTAGGCAATACTCTCTCTCTCACCTCCGCGTTTGGTGATTTGGGTGAATCACACTTAATGTATATTATATTTATCTGCTTTTTGTCATAATTTACAGATTTTCCTTGCAGAGAGGATTCCATTCATATCTCTACAAAAAGATATGTCCATGGGACCCAGCAGATTTATTAATGTACAACGAGTAGTACAGGACACTTAGGGGGCACGATCTTGTCACTTTCACTCTCTGGGACCACGCGATTTTCCAGTTCAACGCCTGGCCGAGAATTTCCAAGTATTCTCCAAATTTTCGGTTTCTGTGTTGTTAAAAAGATCCAAGCAGACTTTAGTTTAAGATTAGAATGTTATTAGTTATTACAGTCATAAATTACATTTCCGCTGGACAATATGAATGTTTGAAGTTAATCTATTGTAAATTATTGTTAAACATGCGGGGTAGACATAGCTGTACAATATAGTCTGGTTATGTAAAACAAGGTCACAAATTTGTCGATTCACAGACTGTGTATGAGATATTTTTCTGAATGATATAGATTTCAGGAGGTGTGTTTTAGCTCGGTAGTATTATGGAGATATATTTTTGTGTAGGCGTAATGTTTGTTGCAAGGTATATCAAATTCAGACGTCATTACATTTTTCTTTTAAATCAAAAATGAGGTGATTCTATTCTACATTTAGTTTAGTAATCGATTTATTTTCTATCTATTTTATAAGGTTGTGGCTCAATAGTTTTACCTGTGTACATTCAAATAACAAATGAATGACATTTTCAGTTTCAGCATTGCAGAAAGAATACAGAGAATATGCTACAATTTTATATTGGAAAATGTTTTTATCTGTTTCAGCATTCTATGAACAGTATGGTGTTGGAATTATCTTAACTTTGTCTTATAATGCTGTTCTTAACGGTAAATAGTTTTCCATCCAACTATATTTGGATATTTCTGTATAAATATCATTTTGCCATTGTTATTGACTATGTTTTCTTTTAAGGCAATATCCTTTACACTGCAGCATAGATTAATCTGCATACTTTTCCCTCCATGTATAAAGTTCTGAGGTTACATGGATCGAATGGTTCTTCCAATATGCTATCCAATGGTACAGAATCTGAGATTCTTTCCATAGATTTTTTATAGATTTGATAAGATCTGTAAGTTCTCAAAGAAAAATACTTTAGAGGATATATTAGTACAACTGAATGTTTAACTTTAGGAAAGTTATTAATATATTTTTAGATGTATATACACACATATTTATTAGGAATTATCCTGGTTATGAAATTTGTATTATATCTATTTATTGACAAAGGCTTAATGATTCACTAGGTGTAATGCGTTAAGTGGTGCCTTTGCTATTTGCAGAATTTTGTCATTTATTATTTTCTCGGTTTCTATGGAAACGATTAGGTACTTAGTCCCAAAGGGAGGGGTGAGCTTCATTTCGAACACAACTTGAAAAGCATTCAGTATCTTTCAAAAGAACTTGGCAGATATATTAGGCAAATTTTGAAATGGTGCCTTTGCCATTTACAGATTTTTGCCATTTATGTTACTCATGATTTCCAAGGAAACGATTTGGACTTAGTCTTTAAAAAAAAATAAAGCTGGACTTTAAGTAACTGTCAGATGATTTGTTCTTTCAAATATGTGGGGCCGGGGATATGTCATATTCTGATGACTCTTGCTTATAATATACACTTAACGTAATCACTATATATATATTGCCAATAATCCCATGACATGATATTAAACTGTTCACTTTATTTCTGCAAGAACTGTACCAAAAAACGTAAAAACCATGACATGTCCTCCTTTTGACCACTCGCGAAACATCCCTCTGACAGTTTCGTACCAAAAGGGTATTTTTAAGTTCACCTTTCTTCGTATAATTATGAAGAAAATAGCCACATGATAATGAACAATCAGAAGCCAGATCCGGGCATAATATTCGAGCATAAATATTACATTTGATTTTCGCTAAACAGGTGCTCGTTGTACACAGTAAGATACATGGTAAACTATCCAATTGTCTATCTATCCAGGACATTATTCAAATGGAAAGCGAGTGAGTTGAGATTATAGTCACACCGCAATATTTTAGCCATATCGCGACTAAAACAATTCATTTATCACTCCCTCCATTTCTGGTGTCCCTCGCCCGTGATATTGCTGGAATATTGCTAAAGTGGCGTAAAACAATACACACTCACTTCATCTCCATCAGATAACCTGGAACGAAATTAGGTGAGATATATACTAAACAACATACAGATGTTATCTTTCTCCGGGTTGCCAAATATGTACAACATGCAACTAATGTGGTGTCGTATTTTCAGTAATTTCATTACATTTGAAAATAAGGCTCGATCTCTGTTAATAATGATGAAACGTTAGTCAAAATACACCTCCAAAATCAATAGAGTTTGGGAATCTAAGAACTAATTTCTAGGTAGATAGCACCATCCATTTAGCTATTACCTCCTTTCTCATGAGCGATTTCTAATTCATTATAATTTGTGATACTACCAAAACGTGTATCCGGTTACAATGTGGATTTTTGTATTGAAACAGACTGGCTCATCGTGTATATGTTTTGTGTGTGTGTAATACGATGGCGCTTTCAGATGCGTATCGCGTCGGTGTCCTCTCTGTTGTCGCTGACGTCAGAGGAAAATCAACTTTCGATCAATAAGCCATTTTTCACATTGAACGTGAGAAAGTTATACATAAGCATACAAATCAATTTCATATATTGTTATGTCGTTCAGATACCACGAGTATTTTATTTCGCACAAAGATTCATTAAAGATTCCAAATAAAGAAATCATCACGTTGTAAGCGGAGACATTTACTGCTTTTCAACGCATAATAAAATTGCGGACAACCTTTAACAAAGTCTACTTTCCAAATCGCCTGTGTATTTGGCTTCAAATTTACATCATCGGATAGGAAATTTAATACTCTACATATCTGTGTTATAGCCGTGGCTAGAAGCAGTGCATCACTAACGCAATTTCGCCAACGCTCATTTTTCAGAACTTCAGAGAAAATAAACCTCTGCTTCCAGGGGTTAAGTCTTCTGTGCACTACGTTGTACATTAATAAATCTGCTGGTCCCATGGACATATCTTTTGTAGAGATATGAATGGAATCCTCTGCAAGGAAAATCTGTAAATTATGACAAAAGCAGATAAATATAATATACATTAAGTGTGATTCACCCAAATCACGAAAGCTAAACGGAGGCGAGAGTGAGTATTGCGCACAGCTAAGGTAGAACGTCCTCCCGATCACGGACTATAGAAATTTGGCGATGCACAATTTCAGTCAAAACCCACGGAAATATTTTTAAAAAATGATCAGAAAATACGAGGGGTAATCGCCACTAGAACCTGAATAGGATTTATGAAGGTGGTGTTCTCGGACGTGATGCAGGGTCATGTCTTGACTGTATAGGACCGCATCGCGGCTCTCGGCTAGCCAATACGATGATATCAACATTATTTTTGTAGGAAGCACTTGATATTTATGTGTGAAATAGTTGAACATATCATTAGCACTCAAGGATAGTAAAATAAAAACTTCAAATGATAATACAGATTAAAAGTACGTTTTTGTCTTACATCGTCGAAAAACCCCAGACACCGGGAGATGTCTTCCCTTAACAAGCAGTCTGTTTTATTGATTAATGACGGATGCAGTGCAGTCATGCGTTCATACAGAAAAAAATATAGCTCCACTGCAAATTGAACAGGCACAATATCTCAAGCTACCCAGGAGTCTTCAATTAAGTTTGATAAACATAGTGCAACCACGTGACAATGATCATTTCCGCGTGGAACACGAAAAATAGTACAAGACGTAACGTACATGTTTCCTGATCTTGAATAGACGCGTTCCAAATTGTGGTGAATTGGAAATGGAAATATGTATGCCCACTGTCTAGAGGCTTGATGAATAACTCTTCTTTGAAAGTGTCACGAGTTGATGCAGAGCCATAAGACACTGTTGCAAAGATCACAAATACAATCGCTAGCAACCGCATTTCGGTTTCCTCTATGGTGGCCGCCATTGCGAAGTTCCGCAGAAAAAATAAATTGTTGTAAATAAAATCATGTACACAAAATCAGTAGAAACATTCGCAGTACTAGCAATTGTTTATATTCATCAAATCTTCACATTGAATTCATCGAGGATTAAGTTGGATTTATTTCTTCATGGAGTAAACACACGTGCAGCAAACCGGCAAAACAAAGCATCACACTGTTTGGGACCTGGATGAATCGTTTAGGGTCACAGACAAGTGGTTGAAAATACTCCACAGTCATCTCGACTCAATGTTTGAGTCGTTTCATGAAAATATACCTATGTTTTGACAACTGAGTGCGTCTTTGCAACTGATTTTATCTGGTAGGTATGTTCAAGTACTTTTAGTTCATTATATGTGAATGATTGTAAGGTTCCATCGCAAAGAAGGCTGAGGAACTGACAATTATTCAAACAGCTTTCACTAAAGTTTCAAGTAAATAAGTTCATGTAAAGTTTCAAGTAAATAAGTTCATGCAATATATCACAGCTGTCATCAAATGGCTTCATCTGCCAGTATCAGGGTGTGGTGCATACCGAATTGTACGTTGTATTTTTCAACCAACTCAACTTCAGTTGACAATCACCCCAGTCTGTACACAACCTGCTAGGGTAAGCAGTACACAACCTGCTGGGGTAAGCAGTGTAGTGGCTACTCTTGTAACAGTAACTTGGATCCAAATATGCCCTGAACTTTATATTTTTCTGGGAAGGGGGCTGCATTGTTATCTTAAAAGTAATGCCCCATGATTCTGTTCCAAACACACTCGCCTTCAAATCTGAGTACTCATGTTTTAGAATGTGCTGTAGTGTATTTGCTTGCCAGGTTGGAAACTCAACATTTGTGACCCAAAATCTGTACGGCTTTATGATTTGATGACAATAAGTACATAGAAAGTTGCATGATTGAACGTATACAGACTACAGATATACAGACACTTTTCCCACATGGTGGCCTTGTTTACATTCGACTCAAATTTTATATGGTAGATTGCGCAAAAAATAATAATTGTCTACCTCTAATATTTTGTCAAATGGCTTTTCACATTAAGTACTTCTCAGATCCTCCCTGGAATCCTCTCGTTCAGATTTTGAAAGTTCTCTACAGATAGTGATTGCCATGCAGGCACGGCAAAGTTTTTCTTAAAGTTTATCGGTGATGGTGATATCCCAGTTGTAATTTTCTAGTGATCTCCTAAGTTTCAACCAAATATTAGTAAATATCATGATTATACTTACATGAGGTGATTGTGCCAGCCACGTTAGCAACTTGATGTCATTTTCTTGCGTGAGGCAGGGTTTTATACAGACTTTGAAAACAGAGAGTCATGGTGACTCAAAGTATTTATTTTAGGGAGTTATTTTCAATGTTTGGGAGTCATGAAATTTTTAGTGTAATATTTATTTGTGTATATCAAAAAGCAAGAGTTTTGCAGAGATTTTGTTGTTTTGTGTTGTATTGCCATTTAAATGTTACCAGAAGTTAATTAATAGTTTATTTTCACAGTTCAAATCAGTCATAACAAAATCCTGTAAACTGAACAAATAATCATGCTTGTGATTTATTCACTGTAGCTTACAGTTATTAACATGAATTGAAAGAAATATCTAAATTAATGAAGACCTCATGAAAACTATCATTGTTTGCTTATCAAATCAATTTTATGGAACTGAATTCTGGGGGTCACTCATAAAACTTGCGTCAAGCGTGACTCGTATGATAATATTTTGAGAGTCTTTTAGAAATTGTTGTGTCAAATACGCAGGAATCACGCGTCTTGTAAAACCCTGGTGAAGGTTTTTGTTACGAGCCCGATGAACGGGCACATTGTCATCTTGGGAATGCCTGGCTACAGCAGGCCACAACTTGGAATCGACAATGTTGATATATTTAGCAGTATTAATGTTCCCATCCACAGCCACAAACGTTTCTACACTGTAAAATGTAATGCAGATCATAAACCCAGATCATCACTTTGACCATACATCCAGTTGTTGGACATACACACTCTGGCCAATACTTTTCATCCACTTTTCTCCACAAATAGATTCTTATATTTTCACCAATTGCCACCTGCAATTCATCCAAGAAAATAACAATTCAGCAAATGTTTTGTTACTCATTTTCCGACACTAAATTCTACGTTATTTTTGGTTTGTGTCTTTCATCACCATTTCCTCTTTGCAATGTGTTTAGAATAACCTTTTGTATGCAAAACACGTTTGGACAGTTCGTGTGGACAGAGACACAGCTTTGCCAGTGTTAAATCTACCAGTAATGTCCCTCCAATTATTTCTGCAATTCTTTTTCATCCAGTGTTCTCTTTGGATGTCCACAGTGATTTTTTACCAAGTACGTCGTTTGAAATTTCTTCGAAATAGATTGAACAGTAGGCCTGGGTATGTCTAATAATTCACCAATATTCCGAAGACTTGATCCTCACAACGCTTTCCTTCACCCTACTCGCCAATTCTTCGCTTTTCGCCCCACTGCCTAAACGTGGATGTGTAGTCAGTATAAACAAGCAGATGACGCTTCCAGAGAATCACATGACAAAGCTGTGTCAAGGGGGGCAGACGCAAAGTGGCCACTGTATCAGGGCTTGATTTAAAGATGTTAACCTGGTTCATGGTGCTACATTAAGATAAAACCTAGTATGCATCAGCCAAATTCAGTTGCTACGTAGTGTGTTAAAACATCAGAGGTTTCATGCACATAAACATATTTCATTCATGTAGTGCCATTGAAACCATGATGTTACTGATTCACAGCTGATCCCTGTATGATGTTGAGCTGGTTCATGTCACTACTGTATGATGTCTATGAATAGCAATGTTTACATTCATGTGGCTACTGTATGATGTTACTGGTTCATGTCACTACTGAGCTGACATTTTACTGGTTCATATTGTTACATTCATGTGGTTGATTTATTTCTCAAAAATGGCTTGCACCTGGTGCAAGTTAGTTCTGTAACTACTGTATGATGTTACTGGTTCATGTGGCTACTGTATGATGTTACTGGTTCATGTGGCTACTGTATGATGTTACTGGTTCATGTGGCTACTGTATGATGTTACTGGTTCATGTGGCTACACTGTAAAGCATGTGGCTACTGTATGATTACTGTTACTGTATGATGTTACTGGTTCATGTGGCTACTGTATGATGTTACTGGTTCATGTGGCTACTGTATGATGTTCATGGTTCATTGTGGCTACTGTATGATGTTACTGGTTCATGTGGCTACTGTATGATGTTACTGGTTCATGTGGCTACTGTATGATGTTACTGGTTCATGTGGCTACTGTATGATGTTACTGGTTCATGTCGCTACATTCATGTGGCTACTGTATGATGTTACTGGTTCATGTGGCTACTGTATGATGTTACTGGTTCATGTGGCTACTGTATGATGTTACTGGTTCATGTGGCTACTGTATGATGTTACTGGTTCATGTGGCTACTGTATGATGTTACTGGTTACTGGTCATGTGGCTACTGTATCATGTTACTGGTTCTGGTTCATGGCTACTGTATGATGTTACTGGTTCATGTGGCTACTGTATGATGTTACTGGTTCATGTGGCTACTGTATGATGTTACTGGTTCATGTGGCTACTGTATGATGTTACTGGTTCATGTGGCTACTGTATGATGTTACTGGTTCATGTGGCTACTGTATGATGTTACTGGTTCATGTGGCTACTGTATGATGTTACTGGTTCATGTGGCTACTGTATGATGTTACTGGTTCATGTCGCTACATTCATGTGGCTACTGTATGATGTTACTGGTTCATGTGGCTACTGTATGATGTTGTTACTGGTTCATGTGGCTACTGTATGATGTTACTGGTTCATGTGGCTACTGTATGATGTTACTGGTTCATGTGGCTACTGTATGATGTTACTGGTTCATGTGGCTACTGTATGATGTTACTGGTTCATGTGGCTACTGTATGATGTTACTGGTTCATGTGGCTACTGTATGATGTTACTGGTTCATGTGGCTACTGTATGATGTTACTGGTTCATGTGGCTGCCCACTGTATGATGTTACTGGTATGATGTTACTGGTATGATGTTACTGGTTCATGTGGCTACTGTATGATGTTACTGGTTCATGTGGCTACTGTATGATGTTACTGGTTCATGTGGCTACTGTATGCTACTGTATGATGTTACTGGTTCATGTGGCTACTGTATGATGTTACTGGTTCATGTGGCTACTGTATGATGTTACTGGTTCATGTGGCTACTGTATGATGTTACTGGTTCATGTGGCTACTGTATGATGTTACTGGTTCATGTGGCTACTGTATGATGTTACTGGTTCATGTGGCTACTGTATGATGTTACTGGTTCATGTGGCTACTGTATGATGTTACTGGTTCATGTGGCTCCTGTATGATGTTACTGGTTCATGTGGCTACTGTATGATGTTACTGGTTCATGTGGCTACTGTATGATGTTACTGGTTCATGTGGCTACTGTATGATGTTACTGGTTCATGTGGCTACTGTATGATGTTACTGGTTCATGTGGCTACTGTATGATGTTACTGGTTCATGTGGCTACTGTATGATGTTACTGGTTCATGTGGCTACTGTATGATGTTACTGGTTCATGTGGCTACTGTATGATGTTACTGGTTCATGTGGCTACTGTATGATGTTACTGGTTCATGTCGCTACATTCATGTGGCTACTGTATGATGTTACTGGTTCATGTGGCTACTGTATGATGTTACTGGTTCATGTGGCTACTGTATGATGTTACTGGTTCATGTGGCTACTGTATGATGTTACTGGTTCATGTGGCTACATTCATGTGGCTACTGTATGATGTTACTGGTTCATGTTGCTACATTCATGTGGCTACTGTATGATGTTACTGGTTCATGTCGCTACATTCATGTGGCTACTGTATGATGTTACTGGTTCATGTGGCTACTGTATGATGTTACTGGTTCATGTGGCTACTGTATGATGTTACTGATTCATGTGGCTACTGTATGATGTTACTGGTTCATGTCGCTACATTCATGTGGCTACTGTATGATGTTACTGGTTCATGTCGCTACATTCATGTGGCTACTGTATGATGTTACTGGTTCATGTCGCTACATTCATGTGGCTACTGTATGATGTTACTGGTTCATGTCGCTACATTCATGTGGCTACTGTATGATGTTACTGGTTCATGTCACTACATTCATGGGGCTACTGTATGATGTTACTGGTTCATGTTGCTACATTCTTGTGGCTGATTCATGTGGATAATACTGTGTTTCCATGATTCCAAACTGAAGGATTAGCGAGTCTTTGTATGAAAACTCTTGGTCTTTGGAATGGTTGGTGCCATGTCCGGAATTAATTTCTGGTACACTTTGTATCAACCGTTGTCCAGGGTTGAGACGTATGAGCTTCTCAGTGTCTGCCTATTCAAGTTGTCTCCCTTTGGAACGGTTGCAGCTGTGTTCACGATTTTGGAAGATATCTTCAGGTAGAAATTGTTTCAAGTTTTGAGCTAGGTTGCTACTGAAACGCAGTCAAAGAGTTGCAGTCTGCCAAATGGTAGTGCAGAGTATGGCTCACAACATCCAGATTGATAATCGGACCTCAGTAATTGATCAATAATCGATTGCAATTGTAAGCCCAACCTCAACACTCATGTGGGCAAAAACAGGCCTCAATCATAACATTGTGTAAATGAAATTAATACAACGATTAAGACGATCAAGGATACTTCCTGCTGAGATACGCACACGTCTGTTTAAGCAGCGGTATTATGAGTCGGGGAAACTGCATCGGTTGTTTATGTCTTCATGATACTTCCTGCTGAGATACGCACACTTCTGTTTAAGCAGCGGTATTACGAGTCGGGGAAACTGCATCGGTTGGTTATGTCTTCATGATACTTCCTGCTGAGATACGCACACTTCTGTTTAAGCAGCGGTATTATGAGTCGGGGAAACTGCATCGGTTGTTTATGTCTTCATGATACTTCCTGCTGAGATACGCACACGTCTGTTTTAAAGCAGCGGTATTACGAGTCGGGGAAACTGCATCGGTTGTTTATGTCTTCATGATACTTCCTGCTGAGATACGCACACGTCTGTTTAAGCAGCGGTATTACGAGTCGGGGAAACTGCATCGGTTGTTTATGTCTTCATGATACTTCCTGCTGAGATACGCACACGTCTGTTTAAGCAGCGGTATTACGAGTCGGGGAAACTGCATCGGTTGTTTATGTCTTCATGATACTTCCTGCTGAGATACGCACACGTCTGTTAAAGCAGCGGTATTATGAGTCGGGGAAACTGCATCGGTTGTTTATGTCTTCATGATACTTCCTGCTGAGATACGCACACGTCTGTTTAAGCAGCGGTATTACGAGTCGGGGAAACTGCATCAGTTGTTTATGTCTTCATGATACTTCCTGCTGAGATACGCACACGTCTGTTTAAGCAGCGGTATTACGAAGTCGGGAAACTGCATCGGTTGTTTATGTCTTCATGATACTTCCTGCTGAGATACCACGCACACGTCTGTTTAAGCAGCGGTATTATGAGTCGGGAAACTGCATCGGTTGGTTATGTCTTCAGGATACTTCCTGCTGAGATACGCACACGTCTGTTTAAGCAGCGGTATTATGAGTCGGGGAAACTGCATCGGTTGTTTATGTCTTCAGGATACTTCCTGCTGAGATATCGCACACGTCTGTTTAAGCAGCGGTATTACGAGTCGGGGAAACTGCATCGGTTGTTTATGTCTTCATGATACTTCCTGCTGAGATACGCACACGTCTGTTTAAGCAGCGGTATTACGAGTCGGGGAAACTGCATCGGTTGTTTATGTCTTCATGATACTTCCTGCTGAGATACGCACTGTCGTCTGTTTAAGCAGCTGTATTACGAGTGAGATATCATACCACGGAAACTGCATCGGTTGTTTATGTCTTCTTGATACTTCCTGCTGAGATACGCACACGTCTGTTTAAGCAGCGTGTATTACGAAATCGGGAAACTGCATCGGTTGTTTATGTCTTCATGATACTTCCTGCTGAGATCGCACACGCCTGTTTAAGCAGCGGTATTACGAAGTCGGGAAACTGCATCGGTTGTTTATGTCTTCAGGATACTTCCTGCTGAGATACGCATTACACGCCTGTTTAAGCAGCGGTATTACGAGTCGGGGAAACTGCATCGGTTGTTTATGTCTTCATGATACTTCCTGCTGAGACACACACACGTCTGTTAAAGCAGCGGTATTACGAGTCGGGGAAACTGCATCGGTTGGTTATGTCTTCATGATACTTCCTGCTGAGATACGCACACGCCTGTTAAAGCAGCGGTATTACGAGTCGGGGAAACTGCATCGGTTGTTTATGTCTTCATGATACTTCCTGCTGAGATACGCACACGTCTGTTTAAGCAGCGGTATTACGAGTCGGGGAAACTGCATCGGTTGTTTATGTCTTAATGATACTTCCTGCTGAGATACGCACACGTCTGTTAAAGCAGCGGTATTACGAGTTGGGGAAACTGCATTGGTTGTTTATGTCTTCATGTCACTAACATAACAATGAGAAACATACTTTCTTAGGTTTAATTTGATTTGTTTCATTTTCATGAATATCGATTAGTCTCACGAGCCCATCAATAATCGTTGACGCAAGCGTGATTGATTGATTGATTGATTGACAGATTATTCAATCCATAGCTCCAGCACTGCCAAATGGTACAAGTGGTAGTCTCAAGGAAATGTCACTGGGGTAGACCTTGACATTTACTAGTTTTGGATTCGAACTGTTCAAAGGGTGAACATTGTTTTGGTTGTAAGTGCCATGAGTTTCAGATGTTTTGACACATACAAAACAGAGACACTGCTGGGGACAAAGGAATCACTTCTTATATGGTGAGAAGCTGCAGACAAGCAAACACTCAGTTACCATATGAACCTGACTCGACAATGTGCTGCAATATGTCCAGGTGATATTGTGTTACTTTTTAAACTTGTTCAGTGAAGGATGAATGAAGATATTAATCATAACCAGTTGGTTTCAGTGTGTGTCATATTGATTCTAATGTTTTACCTCTGAAATGTTTCGGCACGTGTATATGTATTGTTTCAGGTTGACCCGGGAATCCCGTTGCCATGGGTAAATATAGTAATGTGCCGATGACACGGAGAAGCCAGTCTGTGGGAGGAATCAACCTAGCTCGACGACCAAAGAGAAATGTGTCCATAAAAACCTACGTGAGTTGATGCTTCTGAGTTGATGCTTCTGGGCTTTTGAGCATTGACGTTTGATCTTTGATTCTGTGTGTTGCACAGTGATGTTTGATCGGTGGTTCTGTGTGATGCACAGTGATGTTTGATCTGTGTTTCTGTGTGATGCACAGTGATGTTTGATATGTGGTTCTGTGTGATGCACAGTGATGTTTGATCTGTGGTTGTGTGTGATGTTTGATCTGTGGTTCTGTGTGATGCACAGTGATGTTTGATCTGTGTTTCTGTGTGATGCACAGTGATGTTTGATCTGTGGTTGTGTGTGATGCACAGTGTTGTTTGATCTGTGGTTGTGTGTGATGCACAGTGTTGTTTGATCTGTGGTTGTGTGTGATGTTTGATCGGTGGTTCTGTGTGCTGCACAGTGATGTTTGATCTGTGTTTCTGTGTGATGCACAATGATGTTTGATCTGTGTTTCTGTGTGATGCACAGTGTTGTTTGATCGGTGGTTCTGTGTGTTGGCAGTGATGATTGATCTGTGGTTCTGTGTGTTGGCAGTGATGTTTGATCTGTGCTTCTGTCTGTTGCACAGTGATGTTTGATATGTGGTTGTGTGTGATGTTTGATCTGTGTTTCTGTGTGATGCACAATGATGTTTGATCTGTGTTTCTGTGTGATGCACAGTGATGTTTGATCTGTGGTTCTGTGTGTTGGCAGTGATGTTTGATCTGTGGTTGTGTGTGATGTTTGATCTGTGTTTCTGTGTGATGCACAGGGATGTTTGATATGTGGTTGTGTGTGATGTTTGATCTGTGTTTCTGTGTGATGCACAATGATGTTTGATCTGTTTCTGTGTGATGCACAGTGATGTTTGATCTGTGGTTGTGTGTGATGCACAGTGATGTTTGATCTGTGGTTGTGTGTGATGTTTGATCTGTGGTTATGTGTGATGCACCGTGATGTTTGATCTGTGGTTGTGTGTGATGCACAGTGATGTTTGATCTGTGGTTCTGTGTGTTGTGCAGTGATGTTCGATCTGTGGTTCTATGTGATGTGCAATGATGTTTGATCTGTGGTTCTGTGTGATGTGCAGTGATCTTAGATATGTGTTTCTGTGTGATTCACAGTGATCTTAGATATGTGTTTCTGTGTGATGCACAATGATGTTTGATCTGTGGTTCTGTGTGATGCACAATGATGTTTGATCTGTGGTTCTGTGTGATGCACAGTGATGTTTGATCTGTGGTTCTGTGTGATGCACAATGATGTTTGATCTGTGGTTCTGTGTGTTGGCAGTGATGTTTGATCTGTGGTTCTGTGTGCTGGACAGTGATCTTTGATATGTGTTTCTGTGTGATGCACAATGATGTTTGATCTGTGGTTGTGTGTGATGCACAATGATGTTTGATCTGTGTTTCTGTGTGATGCACAGTGATGTTTGATCTGTGGTTCTGTGTGATGCACAGTGATGTTTGACCTGTGGTTGTGTGTGATGTTTGATCTGTGGTTGTGTGTGATGCACAATGATGTTTGATCTGTGGTTCTGTGTGATGCACAGTGATGTTTGATCTGTGGTTCTGTGTGATGCACAGTGATGTTTGATCTGTGGTTGTGTGTGATGCACAGTGATGTTTGATCTGTGGTTCTGTGTGATGCACAGTGATGTTTGATCTGTGGTTCTATTTCATGCACAATGATGTTTGATCTGTGGTCGTGTGGTTGTGGTGCGTAGTGATGTTTGATATGTGTTTCTGTGATGCGCAGTGATGTATCATCTGTAATTCTGTGGGTTGTAGAGGTGTTTAAGCCTTTGAATCTGTGGGTCATGTACTAGTGTTTAGATCTGTAATTCTGCAGGCTGAACACTTGTTCACTCACATTAAAAAGCTGAGACAGTGTTTCTGTGTTACAGGATGACACTGTGGGATTATCCCGCACGGAGGAACGTGAGCTGAAGAAAGCCCTGTATGCTTCCCTGCAGGAGTGTAAACGATTAGCTCGTTACCAGCTGGATACTGACGAACAACCTGTACCACAGCCAGTCCCTCGCCAGACCCGACCCATCAGGAGCCGATCTTGGCCATACACGCCGTCGGTGTGCAGCACAGCCACACCTAGCACTTGTGTCAGTGTGGACGAAAGCAGCCAGGACTCGGTCAAGTCTTCTGTCAGCTCAGTGGCCGAACAGAAGACCAGACAGGAGAGGTCAGTGTGTAGGACACAGTTGCATCCCTTGGACATGACAGAACCCTGTGATGGATAGTCAGAATCCCTGTGATCGATAGTCAGAATCCCTGTGATCGATAGTCAGAATCCCTGTGATTGATAGTCAGAATCCCTGTGATCGATAGTCAGAATCCCTGTGATCGATAGTCAGAATCCCTGTGATTGATAGTCAGAATCCCTGTGATCGATAGTCAGAATCCCTGTGATCGATAGTCAGAATCCCTGTGATTGATGGTCAGAAACCCTGTGATCGATAGTAAGAATCCCTGTGAGTGATAGTCAGAACCCCTGTGATCGATAGTCAGAATCCCTGTGATCGATAGTCAGAATCCCTGTGATTGATAGTAAGAATCCCTGTGATCGATAGTCAGAATCCCTGTGATCGATAGTCAGAATCCCTGTGATTGATAGTCAGAACCCCTGTGATCGATAGTCAGAATCCCTGTGATTGATGGTCAGAAAACCTGTGATCGATAGTCAGAATCCCTGTGATTGCTAGTCAGAATCCCTGTGATTGATAGTCAGAATCCCTGTGATTGATGGTCAGAAACCCTGTGATCGATAGTCAGAATCCTTGTGATTGCTAGTCAGAATCCCTGTGATTGATAGTCAGAACCCCTGTGATTGATTGTCAGAATCCCTGTGATTGATAGTCAGAACCCCTGTGATTGTCAGAATCCCTGTGATTGATTGTCAGAAACCCTGTGATTGCTAGTCAGAATCCCTGATTGATAGTCAGAACCCCTGTGATCGATAGTCAGAATCCCTGTGATCGATAGTCAGAATCCCTGTGATTGATAGTCAGAATCCCTGTGATCGATAGTCAGAATCCCTGTGATCGATAGTCAGAATCCCTGTGATTGATAGTCAGAATCCCTGTGATTGATGGTCAGAAACCCTGTGATCGATAGTAAGAATCCCTGTGATTGATAGTCAGAACCCCTGTGATCGATAGTCAGAATCCCTGTGATCGATAGTCAGAATCCCTGTGATTGATAGTCAGAATCCCTGTGATCGATAGTCAGAATCCCTGTGATTGATAGTCAGAACCCCTGTGATCGATAGTCAGAATCCCTGTGATTGATGGTCAGAAAACCTGTGATCGATAGTCAGAATCCCTGTGATTGCTAGTCAGAATCCCTGTGATTGATGGTCAGAATCCCTGTGACTGATGGTCAGAAACCCTGTGATCGATAGTCAGAATCCCTGTGATTGCTAGTCAGAATCCCTGTGATTGATAGTCAGAACCCCTGTGATTGATTGTCAGAATCCCTGTGATTGATTGTCAGAATCCCTGTGATTGATAGTCAGAACCCCTGTGATTGTCAGAATCCCTGTGATTGATTGTCAGAAACCCTGTGATTGCTAGTCAGAATCCCTGATTGATAGTCAGAACCCCTGTGATTGATTGTCAGAACCCCTGTGATTGATTGTCAGAATCCCTGTGATTGATTGTCAGAATCCCTGTGATTGATTGTCAGAACCCCTGTGATTGATAGTCAGAACCCCTGTGATTGATTGTCAGAAACCCTGTGATTGATTGTCAGAATCCCTGTGATGGATAGTCAGAACCCCTGTGATCGATAGTCAGAATCCCTGTGATCGATAGTCAGAATCCCTGTGATCGATAGTCAGAATCCCTGTGATTGATAGTCTTGATAGTCAGAATCCCTGTGATTGATAGTCAGAATCCCTGTGATCGATAGTCAGAATCCCTGTGATCGATAGTCAGAATCCCTGTGATTGATAGTCAGAATCCCTGTTGGCTTAGTCTAGTTTCCAGGCTAGTAAACACTTGTGGATATCACCAGCGTGCTAACTGTCTGGATTCTCTCTATCTCAATAACACACTCTTTGAGGTAAATGTTCAACTTTCAAAGCGATGTTAAACCCAACTCATTCACTCATGTTTAGTTTGCATAGTTAAAAAGGGATGCTGTTGAGGTTTTGCTGTGTACCAATAGATAGTTGTTGAATCAGGTGACCTCACTCTTTATATTTTAAACATTATTAAGATTATTGCAAGGTCCCCTCATCTATCTAGCTTAATTTCAAACTCTCATTTGTGAATGTGTGATGAAATGTCTGTGTATACTTAGAGCATTAGACATTTTGTTGTTTCAGGAAAATCCATGCACAGCGCAAGTTTGCACAAGGGTCCCTTCCTCCGACCCCCAGTACAACTCCAGTGAAGGTCAAGGCCTCTCCCATCAAACTTCTGCCGAGACGAGCCAAGACTGAGGACTTTTTGACATTCCTCTGTTTACGAGGTGTGTTGTTGAGTATTTTCCTAGCTCACATAATCTTACAATCGTATCGGTTTAACTGAAAACAAAAATATTCATTTTTCCTTATCCTGACTCATGCTCTTTTGCTTGTCTTCTTCTTCTTGCGAACATAGTGGAACACTTGTATCTCCTTATTTGAAGCTCCCTTCAAAGTAAAATCACTAATTGGTACTCACCACGAGTTGCTTCCCTTTGCTCCCCCTGGCGGGAAAGGTGTCGCCACCCTCTTGCCATGTGCTTCACTCTCTCCTTCTTCGCCCAGTGAGCAGGATGTGAGAGCGCCTCATGTCTCCTTACACACCATATCCTTTGAAATTTTCTTAGTTTTTACCTCTCTTAGGCTACTATAGAGGTATAGCTAGTATCCTTTACTAATTTGTATTGATTATTTATCGTATTTCTACTGTTTATTCACGTGTATTCGTGATTGTTCAGCTAGCTATTTGTAGATTACGTTTTTCCGCCTCTGATCCGCATGTAATATGCCCTAGTTGTTCTACGCCGTGTGCGTTTGATTCACGTTGCAGTTACTGCATTAATCTATCTCATTCTGCATTTAATAAATATCATCTTTGCGTCTTAAGACGTGCTGCAGATAGGTCAACGCAAACAAGGGCAAAACATGGCAGATAGTCCAGATATTCCATCCAGTCAGCTGCTAGCGATCGACCCTCTCCGTCTGGTGTGCTGCTAGAGACCCCTGCGGTAGAGGAGCGTGGGGCGCTTGATCCGTTACCTCGAAGAAAGCGACCGGCCTCCCCAGACATCGTCGCCATCGCAGACCAAGTATAAGAGGGCCTCAACGTCTTCTCAACGCAGACTTAGGACCCCAGGGCAGCGCCAGACTTCCAAAGGGAAATCTACGAAGACAGCGAGAACTTTCTCAGCCGAGATCGTTCCAGCAGCAGAATTGGGCCTCGATGATCAGCCGATAATCATCCCGACTTACGGCACAAGAAGCGACCGTGTCAGCGACTGTGACTTCTGCAGAGATCACCATGCAGCCTGATGCCTCTACACTGGCGTCGGACGTTATTGATGTGGACCCCATCGCAGAGAAGGCGCCCGACTTGACCGTCACAGATCATCCCAGAAGACATGATGCGGCAAATTATGAACATCATGGAGGACCACTACAAACTGCAGAAGCAGGGTCCGAGCCTTCGCGAAGGCTCCAACGTGAACAGCACCCCAGAGGCACCCCGTCAGCGTAGCAGCCAAGGCGATGTCACCTTAGCGAAGGAAGTCCCGGACCACCTTGGCGAAGGACCTAGATGTACAGCCTTCGAAGGCCTTGGCGGGACAGATCATCACCATCTTCGATTTCATCCCTAGATATGGACTCGGACCATCAGGCGTCCACGGAGGAGGCCTTCGGCGAAGGTCATATCATCGATCCCCGGACCGGGCGCAAATGAAGCTTCAGCGAAGGCATTCAGCGAAGGGCACATGATTCCAGATCTTCATCATCTAGAAGGACATCGAGGGACTATAGAAGAGCTTGGCGAAGCTATCAGAGTTAAGCCTCACAAAGTAAGCCAAGAAGATCATCCATAGAGCGATCTCCGCCGTTCATCACCATGTCGATCACCCGTCAGGTCACCACATAGAGCTGCGCACAAGTCAACTAGATGCATACAAGCATTATCGGGACATACAGACAGCTACGCCAGTCGAAGAGCATCTACATTTCGTTAATGATGATGGTATTGAGGATGATGGAGGAATCATTTTCTCGATGCAGAGATCACGGTATTGGATGGTCAATAACCTAGATCTCTCATCACCATCTAAAAGTGGCAATACAAGCGCAGACTTATTTGATGAAAGAAGGCGATCCAGATCGCGATCACACTACCCCGATCGACCCGATCGGCGGCAGTGCCACAGAATCTAGATGCAGCTTTCCAGAAAGCTTCACGAAAGTTCAGACACCACATCTGCCAAACTTTCATGCCAAGAAGTTCTCCACGCATAACATGGACCCTTCTACAAAGCCCAGGACATCGATGAGAACTATAAGATCATCAGCGATGTCAAGAACAAGATTTATAAGATGGATGATCGCAAGTTGGCTCATATAGAAACCATGACGAGACGTATGTTCTTTGGGCTAAATAGATCTAGGACGATCAATGAGACTCTTATTACTAGATTCCGTGATTCCACGACTGAAGATGATAGAATGATTTACTCTGCCTTACTTATGCAAAAGAAAGATCAGCAGTTCTTAACGGATCATCTTACATCTGTTTCAGCAGCACTGACCTTAGCTCGTCGTCAAGGCCTCCTCGCTTCCTGCAATTGGGGTGAGAACTTTACAGCCCCACTTTATACAGCCCCGTGGTCGACAACATCCATCTTTGGCGGAGAAATTGACAAAATTCGCCAAGGAAGTCTCTAAGGATTCCAGGGAAGTCCTTATGATTAAATCGATGGACACACTAGCCAGCCTCATTCGTCAGACTTCACAAAGATACTCAGGCAGATCTAAGTTCACGGGCCTACAAAGAGCAAGAGACAGGAAGATAGCCAGCTCTAGAGGTAAAGATTCTTTTAAGTAAAGCCCATATGGCAACTATAGAGGAGGGTCAGGAAGAGGCAGGACACCCAGAGGTTCCCACCAACTATAGGCAGCTGAAACACAGGTTGAAGCGACTGGAGTCTTCCACCCCAGCCATTCCAGTACAGCCAGCACAAGTGGGTGGGGCCTCCAACTACACTGGGAAAACTGGGGAATATTGCAAGACCCTTACGTCTCCAACATTCTTCAACACGTTTAAGTATCCCACTACTGGCCAAGCCTCCGCTGACAATCAAACCCTCAAGTTCGATTTACAAGCAACAACTACCAAAGTTAAGAGAGGCTGTTTCATCACTCCTATCCAAACAGGCCATAGAAGTAATAGATCAAGCAAACATCGAACCAGGTTTCTACTCCCCCAGTTTTCCTAGTTCCCAAGAAAAACTCCACGGAGAAATACAGACTCATCTACAACATGAGCTTTTTCAACAAGAATTATCTCGCCAAACCACCCGGTTTAAGCATGATACATTTACCTCAGTTACGCCAGATGATTCGTCCTATGGACTACATGGGCAGCATAGATCTACAGGATGCCTACCTGCACATCCCCATTCATCCCGATTCCAGGAAATACCTACGGTTTACTCTAGAAGGGCTACATTACCAGTGGAAAGTACTCCCATTCGGAATATCATCAGCCCCCTGGCTATTCACGAGGATAACGGAACCGATTATCACTTTTCTACATCGGGCAAAGGGCTCTCGCCAGTGCGTTTTACCTCGACGACGGGATACAAGTAGATCAAGATCCACGGCGTCTCAAACTACAGTTAAATTACATCATAAAGCTACTAACACAACTAGGATGGTTAGTAAACTTACGCAAGTCGGACCTAGTACCATCGCAAGACCTACAGTTCCTAGGTATTCGATTCATCACAAATCGCGAACCCGTATCGTTGTACCAGAAGACCGTTGGCTCAAGATACAACAGACCATTCCACCAGCTCTACTCTCTCCGTTACCACGCCGACAATGGCAGAGCCTACTAGGTTTTTCACATCAGCCCAAGACATGACTGTCACAGGCAGATTACAGTTCGTCCCCTACAGGTCCTCATCAACGACATCTCAGCGATGTACAACCATTCAGTCTACACGAAACATCTCAGACCTCATCTACTATGGTGGACCAAGAAATCGAATGTCTGCGAAGGGATTTGTTTAGCAGAGCAGGAATTCAAAACCCATCTATATGTAGACGGCCATTACTCCAAGGTTGGGAGCTCATCTAAGCCAACCACGCGATATCAGGATTATGGAATCAGCAAGAAAGCAAACTCCATATAAACATTCTAGAAATGAAAGCTGTAATCAGCATGCATCTCACATTGGAGCACATTTCTACAAAATGCGCACCTAATGATCCATACAGACAATTCGACAGTGGCGTTCTACGTAAACAAGCAAGGCTCAACGAGATCGCTGAACCTTTTGAACCTAAGCTTTCAACTGTTCGATCTAATACAAGATCTAAATCTACATGTCAGAGCAGTTCACATTCCCGGAGCCAGAAATGTACTAGCAGACGCTCTCTCTTGGCCTCATCTACCATCACCGACAGAGTGGATGATCAACAGGGAAATATTTGCACAGATAATCAAGCAATTAGGGCGGCTAATAGATCTATTAAGCCACCGCGATTCAACAATCAACTACCGACATTTGTGTCACCAGTCCCAGACCCTCAAGCTTGGGGGCAACGGCTCTAAGTCTATCATGGGAAGGCCTCGAAACGCGTCGCAGCGTTTCGCCGCCAGCAATAATACCTCAAGTATTACAGAAAATCAGACAAACAAAGAGCCTACAACTCACTTTGGTCGCCCTACTGGCCGGCCAGAGCGGTTTCCCCATACTAATTCAAGAAATCGGTCAACCAGCACTGGAGCTACCCAAAGCGGCAGCGCAAACCTGTTAATTCATCCTCACACCAAACAAGTGCACGGAAACCCAGGAGTGTTCCAACTACACGTATGGACTGTATACAAATGTGTTTAAACAAGAGAGGATATTCTGCGGGCGGCAAAAGCAGTCACGCTTGCCTTCGTTACTCAACTCGTAACTTGTAACGGCGACAAGTGGCACAGTTTTGAAAATTATGCAGCAAAGAAAGGTTTTACAGCGCGAGAGGCTTCACAACCTCAAGTGGCAGACTATTTGTGTTACCTTCGCCAAAACAAACATTTAAAAGGTTCAACGATATCAACATATCTTGCCGAGCTCAGTTCTGTAGTCACCATGAGAACGGGGGTCAAGTTGACAAGATCTCCAGAGTTACGGGCTTTCCGATTGGAGGACCAAAAGCGGAAGTTCCACGCCCCAGCTTGGGATCTGAATATAGTGTTACAACACCTCACTAGTGAGGTTTATGAACCATTGGAATCGACAACTTTTGAATTTCTCTCACAGAAAACACTATTTCTACTATCTCTAGCCACGGCAGCAAGAATGTCCGAAATTCACGCTCTAGATTACGAGAGGATACAGTTTGATGACAATCATAACACAGCGCACCTCGGACTAAGATGGGATTTCATCGCTAAAAATCAACTGCCAGGTCAACCAGACAGATTATTCCACATCCCGGCGCTATCCTCTATTCTCGGATCACAAGATACACAAGACTTATCACTGTGTCCAGTAAGAGCTCAAAGTTTATTTCTACGACGATCCAAAACAAGGAGAAGATTTCTCAACGCGTTTATTCATCCCCTTATAAGCCTCTGAATCAAACAGAAGTGTCACGGACCACAATATCTATTTGGATAAGGACTGTCATCCTCCGTGCCTACAAGGCAGCAGAGCTTGGACCCACCAACAGCATCAAATCCACATGAGATCAGGGCTCTGGCCTCCACCCTCTGCATCCTGCGGTAACTGTTCGTTGAACACGATTATGGAAGGATGCTATTGGAAATCTAACATGGTGTTTGCGAATCACTACCTGAGAGTCATCACTACAGAAGATGTCTCTGGCATTCACCATTCTCGACCACTGGTCCTCGCTCAGCAACTGACAGTCCCTCGTGGCGTTAACTATTACCCTCACAAGATTAATATGTATTATATACATACTTATCTAGCTTATAACTCTACGGAGTATTAGGGCTATGTATATATATTCAGCTTAAGTTATTCAGCCTTAAGCTTATACTATGATATGTTCAGTTTCAGTGCCTCTATTAGAGTCACTTATATATATATATATATATTATATGTATTGTTCAATATATTAATAATGTAATTCCCCTTTTAATGGCATTATCGAACCTATGGTTTTTAATACAGGAAATATCCTAAGTCTATGCCTTCATGAAGTTCCCGTAAGGGATATTACAGTTACATCTATACAAAATCACTAATTATAAATCCAAAGTATTCTGTTACTCCCACCTCCGTTTCCGTAGGATTCTACAAGCAAAAGAGCATGAGTCAGGATAAGGAAAAATATGTAATTTTTGGAGTAAAATTGATATTTTATACTTATCCTGACTCATGAGGTTAGCTCCATCCCTCTCCCACATAACACTTTGGATTTTAAGCAAGTGTTGATCCATAAAATCAGGAGAGAGTGGAGCACATTGACACCTTTTGCAAGGGAAGCAGCCCTGTTATACAATTAGTGATTTTACTTTGAAGGAGCTTCAAATAAGGAGATACAAGTGTTCCCATCTGAAGGCAAAAGAGTGAGTCAGGATGGATTATCAATTTTACTCCAAAAATTACATTTTGCTGTTGATCATTGGGCCCGTTATACAGTGCACCGAGCCATCTGCAGGGGGGACTCACATCAAAGGATCCTTGGGCCGTTATGGATCATCAAGGCGGTGACTTAAAAGGTCACCTAAGAATTAGATCCTCTGCAATGTATAGTTGGACTAGGTGTCTTAGTGGACTGGCTGAGAAATGGATCTTTGGCTGTCTATTGCTCTGTAAAGCTTATTAAACAAGGTGACTGACTGGACCATCCTAGAATAGGATCCTGAACACTGTATAGCTATATATTCAACGTGACCGACTAAACCATGTGGACAGTGACTCACGCCACTACTTATCTGGATTATTTACAGACAGTTGCAAACATTGTTGACTGCAAGTTGGCTGACAAGCACCTAATGACATGTTTCCTCTTCCTCCAGGCTCCTCGGTCCTTCCTCCTCACCTCGACTTCTTCAACTTCTCCAGAGGTGAGCCCTCACATGGGGAGATCAGCGCTCCAGAGACGCCCCCACGTCCAGAGCCTGGATCCAAGTGTGAGAGAACAAGGGAGAGCACTCCTGAGTCTTCCAGCGTTAGCACCAACGATGAGCTGTATGAGATAGGAACGCCTTCACCTTGTAGTGTTATAGTAAGTACAGTTGTTATAGATATTACTTGTTACCCAGCCTGGCGTTTGGCATTAATGAGATACTATGACAGTTTGAGGTTGGCATAGTGTGCCTAAGTTGGTTGTCCATGTCTAACTGTGTCACTCCCTTCAAGTTCAGGTAGTGAACATCTAGTAGCAGGTAGTGAACAGGTAATGAACATCTAGTAGCAGGTAGTGAACAGGTAATGAACATCTAGTAGCAGGTAGTGACCATCTGGCGGAGATATTGATCATCTAGCAACATGTAGGGAACCAAGTTTATGTTAAAAGGAATACACACATTTAAAGCCATTTATACTCCCACACTCAAATGTTAAGTCATCTGCTAAAGGTGAGATTCTGTAGCTAAGTCTTGTGGCAGTTAGGAAAAGCCTGAGTTGGTAATTGAATTGTGTGAGTAAGATTAAGTGAGCTGTTTGATTGCTTGTAATTTCATATTCAATGTTAATCATGATGTTTGATGACCCAGACTTGGGTATTTAGACACTGCTATCATGTTTACTGGTAGTGCGGACTGTGGTGAAATATATTGTCTGGTAGTCCTTTTTGTGTTTGAGATGAGAGTTCAGCTGTTGTTCTTTTCACCAGGCCAATGGACGGAATGGTCTGAGTGCCAGGAAGGCAGCCCGAGCCAGCGCCAGCACTCCAGAGACAGCCCGGGGCATCGTCAGTCTCAGTCAAGGCCTCACCAAGAAAACTACACGCGTAAGCACCCCACATCGTGGTCGAAAATCGGGTTCAGTGGACAAGACTCCTTCCCCACGGAAAGGGTCTCCACTTGTCAGGGGGTCGCCATCTAAACGAGGCTTTGCTGTGAAAAGCTTGTCGCCTCAGTTCTCAAAGACGCCTCCCAAAAAGAAGCTTAGCCTCAAGCAGAAAGCTCTGCTTTCCTTCATGCCTCGTAAAGCAAGCACTAAACATGGCAGTCACAGAGAGGCCAGCTCAAAGCAGGCTGTGCTTGAGGGTAGTCAGGTAAATAATGCTGAAACTCAGAGCTCGCACGCTGCTTTGTATAGGTCTGCTCGTCTCCGCTTGGTCTTTGCATGCACTGATAATCACCAATACTCTTGTGACCCCATCTTGCTTCATTTTCCAATGCTTGTTGAATAGCGTAGTCAGCAATTCTTGTGGTGCTTATAAGTCAACTGTAGGCAGTTGTGTTACAGGGACAAGACAGTGGCTCTGACATATTGTTTGGATTGATGGTTGGAGGTTATCGATGGGAGGCGATCTGTGGCAGGTTGTCAGGGGGAGGTTGTCCAGGGGGATGGGAATTAGCTTAATGTAGCCGATAGGGGGAGGAGGGGGTAATGTTTGACGTTTCAGTCACTCAAGCAGGACCCTGGAGTCCAAAGGACAGGAACATCAGGTCTTTTAAAGGTATGCCTGTTGTCAACCTGGAATGATGGTTTTCTGTTTGAACAGCCACAAGTAACATATGTGCAGAGATCACAGCGTCTTCATGACATGGTAGAGAGAAATTATGGTGGAGAAGTGGCAGCGTCATTGAGCAGGATCTCCCACATACTTTTGCATCAGATCAGAAGATGCCACTTTTGTCTGCGAGTCAATCTGAGTGTCCACCATCTGACAAGAAGATCCCACTTCTGTCTCCTCATTCATTCTCTCAAACATCTCCTGTCCAGCAGAGAGTTCCTGCAAGGCTAAAACACCCAGAGTGTCCTGAGTGTTGTGTTGTCACTGAGCGTCCAGAGTGTTGTGTTGTCACTGAGCGTCCAGAGTGTTGTGAGTCCCATGCTGTGGAAGATGTGGAGGTTGGACAAGGGGAAATACTGGCAAGGAGTTTACCCAGCCCTTGTGAACACACAGATAGAGGCACATCAATGTCCAAGGTCATCTCTCAGTCAGATGTCAGGAACTGCGATGAAGATAGCGAGATCGGATGTAATTCGGGTGATATGGATGATGTCATATCTCAGACGGGTGGCGGAGGGGCAGATGCTGATCACCATTCTGGAACGAGGACAGCAGATCAGGTTGTTCCAGATGTCTCTCAGTCAGGGTGTTTTGTTAGAATAGTTCATGAGCAAACAGGATCTGAAAGTGTTGAGAATGACAATATTCTGATCTTGTCAAGGTGCATCACATCTGAAACAACAGATGATGTAGGGTGTGAGTCACAGGTAAATGTTCTACCTTGGGAGGTGAAACCTTGTATGGAAAACCAACCAGGAACCACAGGTGTGCAAGGCCAGCGTAATTGTCACCCTCAGTGTATGGGAGACCAGTGTAGTCATCAATATCGATGTAAGGAAGACCAGTGTAGTGTTCAACCTCTTTGTATGGAAGGCCAGTCCGCACTTGATGCCATTCATTCTTACAAACATGCTCCCAGGTAGCCAAACATGACACCTTTGAAGAATACCTGATGAACTTACCCCAAGAATGTGTGATTAGCAGTGGCCATGTTGTGTCCAGATCAGACACCTGTACAGCAGGTGTTCTGGGTGAAGGATGGACAAGTGATGATGCAGGAATGACCTTAGAACAGAGGGGAAGCAACATGGCAGATTCCTCAAATGCCCAGGGTCAGTGGCAACCAGACTCTGGAATCACCGCTGATGAGCAGATTCCAACTATAGAGACCGTTGAATGGCTGCCACAGAGGGGAGATATCTACTTGAAACTTGAGGACCTTCAACCGGTACAAGTTTCTCCAGAGCTGAGGCAAGTGAATGATGTCACCGGTGTTGGCCAGGGGATGAGGAGCATATTTGAAGAAGTTTACGACAGGGATGACTTGCTGCCGAGTTGTATGAATGCCTTCAGTGGAGACTTTTCACCAGCAAAAGATTACCTCAACCAGGACATGTTGCCGCCATGTGTCAAGTCTTGTCATCTGGAAGACCTGCTGTGGCCTGATGCTGCTGGGAGAGAAGATGCGAGGTTGCACTCCGAAGTTGAACTTCCATATGAGTACTGGGACACAGTGGAGGTGGAAACACCCCACATGGAAGGTGGCGACCAGCTGTTTGAGAGTGTATCTCCAGGGGTAGAGTTGCAGCAGGGTGTTGATCCTCAGCTCAGGGGAGCACGTGGGTATAATCCAAGATCTCGGCAAGTCCTCCACAATATTCATGAAGAACAAAGAGAGCATTTCATTTCAGAGTATTCAGGAGAGTTGGATACTTTTGAAAATACTTCATCTTTTAGAAACACACACGCGATGTTTAATGATTTAAGTAGAGAACACCCAGAATCACTCTTCGGACAGTGCCCCACCATGCTCTGTAGCCATACTGAAAGGTGGTCCTCACACACACGACAGTGCCCTGGGGAACATTTGTCATTGCTGGGAAGGAACAGTTTCTGTAAACAGGCATGCCAGACACAGGAGCTAAGTCAAGGTGCAAAGGCCACATCAAGACTACGGGATATGTTGCTGTGTGCTCATGATACTGCCAGCAGGATCTCTGATGGTCATCAACAGAACACAGATGTCTCCTACAACACCCACGTGTCCACCTCTTCTCTGCTGACTGATCCCCTGGTGAACCGAGGCCACTGTGGAGGCCAGGACAGTTCTGCAACAGATTCTCCAGTGCTGACTGAAGTTCAGAAAGAAATGGGGTACCGAGTGAAAAGGATTCTTGTGAAGCCGAGACAGCATTCTTCAGAAACTGAGATCCCACCACTCGAGATACGAGTGATTGAGAGCTTGTCACCTGCAACTATTGAAGGGAGTACACAATGTGCTACAGTGAGTCAGGTCATCGGCTGTACTTTCTCCTCAACTGTCCCGGACATGACAACCGGTAGGCACACACAGATGTCTTCTGAGTCCTGCAAGGGAGATGGAAGAGCTGCTACCATTGTTGCTGCTGCTGCTGCTACTGATGATGATGTTGGTGATGTTGAGGGAGGTGACCTGGATTCAGCCCTTGCATCACTAGCTGCTCAGTGTGAAGCCATGAGAACAAGGAAGAAAAAACAACCATCTGCTCCTTGTAAAGCAAGATCTGATGTTACGACTCGAACTGTGTACGACATGAAGAGGCCTTCATGCAGAGCCAGGCCCTGCTCCAGACCAATCCCATGTGAGACATCGAGGAGCAGAACAAACGTGAGAAACAACTGTGATACGTCCGGCAGCTGGAACCAGAAGGAGACATTCATGAAGAAAGAACATGAAATCTACAAGTCAGATGAAAACTGCCACTGGAAAGAACAAGGGCATGAACAGTTTGGGAAACAAACGTCAACAGTGACTGAAGTTCCCTTCAACACAACAGCTACAGGGGTCGGATTCCCCAGTTGCCGATCACCAACACATAAGAGGGAGAACATGGATATACAGCACACACACACACCAGGGTACCTTGCAGGGAACTGCCACGGCATGAGGCAAAGGAAGAAAGGGAAGAAATTATCAAAATTATCCTCAAGAGGACTACAGCTTTGCTCCTTTCTGTCCAGAGGCCATTCCTCCACCATTGTAAAGAATGTATCTGACCTTCACAGTCTCCAGCGGGGAAAGAGACCTCATGCTGTTAGGCTGAAAGTCTGTTCCACTGATACTGCAAGTGTTCCTCAACACTACTTAATGTCTAACCCGAGCCAAGGACATGTAGCATACAGTGTGCCACATAAAGAATATCACAGTTTGGAATCACCAAGAGAATCCAAATCCAGAAAGGTTGAAACTGTGGCAGTTTGTCCTGTTCGAGCGTCAGCTGAAGTTGTCCCGCTACCTCCCCCACCATTCAGCATACAGAGATGTGTGGAGGAGGCGGGGAGGATGGGTATCAAGAACAAGCTGGGTTACGGTAGGCATCGCGACACTCACCAGAGTGCCTCACACTCTCCTTGGTCTATGTCTGATATGGTAGCTACATGGTTAGCTTGTAATGCCCATTGCTACAAAATACTGAAGTATTTACTGCATTCTGCTGTGTAATGCTGAAGTATATACTGTACTCTATGTAATGCTGAAGTATATACTGTACTCTATGTAATGCTGAAGTATTTACTGTACTCTATGTAATGCTGAAGTATTTACTGTACTCTATGTAATGCTGAAGTATATACTGTACTCTATGTAATGCTGAAGTATTTACTGTACTCTATGTAATGCTGAAGTATATACTGTACTCTATGTAATGCTGAAGTATATACTGTACTCTATGTAATGCTGAAGTATATACTGTACTCTATGTAATGCTGAAGTATATACTGTACTCTATGTAATGCTGAAGTATTTCCTGTACTCTATGTAATGCTGAAGTATATACTGTACTCTATGTAATGCTGAAGTATTTCCTGTACTCTATGTAATGCTGAAGTATTTACTGTACTCTATGTAATGCTGAAGTATTTACTGTACTCTTCAATGTAATGCTGAATTATATACACTACAGTACTCTGCTATTCAATGCTGAAGTGTTTACTCAACTCTGCTAAATAATGCTGAAGTATTTACTGCACACTCATACTAAAGGCTGAAGCATATACTCTTCACTGTTATATTTTGCTGAAGCACGCTCTGGTGAGTTTGTAGCTCACTTACCGTCTCCTGATGGAAAGAGTGAATGATGCTCAGCTTGTGAATGTTGTGTGGTGTGCTGCAATAACTGTACTCTATGTTGTACTCCCTTGCACACTAAACTCAGCCTTTGTCACTGCTGTTCTCTTTACCTCCCTGTTCAGCAAACATTGTTGGCAAAGTACAGTTGTCAGATCAGAACACAGTGTATGGTGCTAGCCGGCTGTTCCCTCCACCACCCTGTGTTATGTCATGTGGTACATGTGAGGTTAGTGGAAATGTCACTTCAGGGAGTTTGTTTGAATTTAGGGCATGCATTTTCATTGTTCTGCAATTTTGTATATTTTGTTGATTTTATTTTTCATTTTAATGAATTGCTGCATCTTTTTCAAAGATTCTCAAGTCAAAAGGTTTAAAAAAGAAAATCTGAAGACATTTACTTCATATAGCTGACTATGTATTGTTCAAATTATTTCCGCTTGACTGTGGTGATGTCACTGACTGCAGACTGATGTGATAGATCTGTGATATCACTGACTACAGACTGATGAGATAGATCTGTGATGTCACTGACTACAGACTGATGAGATAGATCTGTGATGTCACTGACTACAGACTGATGTGATAGATCTGTGATGTCACTGACTACAGACTGATGTGATAGATCTGTGATGTCACTGACTACAGACTGATGTGATAGATCTGTGATGTCACTGACTACAGACTGATGTGATAGATCTGTGATGTCACTGACTACAGACTGTTGTGATAGATCTGTGATGTCACTGACTACAGACTGACTGTGATACTGATGTGATGTCACTGATAGATCTGTGATATCACTGACTACAGACTGATGTGATAGATCTGTGATGTCACTACAGACTACAGACTCTGTGATATCACTGACTACAGACTGATGTGATAGATCTGTGATGATCACTGACTACAGACTGATGTGATGTGATAGATCTGTGATCACTGACTACAGACTGATGTGATAGATCTGTGATGTCACTGACTACAGACTGATGTGATAGATCTGTGATGTCACTGACTACAGACTGATGTGATAGATCTGTGATGTCACTGACTACAGACTGTTGTGATAGATCTGTGATGTCACTGACTACAGACTGATGTGATAGATCTGTGATGTCACTGACTACAGACTGATGTGATAGATCTGTGATGTCACTGACTACAGACTGATGTGATAGATCTGTGATCTGACTGTGATGTCAGACTGACTGACAGACTGTGATGTGATAGATCTGATGTGTCTGTGATGTCACTGACTACAGACTGATGTGATAGATCTGTGATATCACTGACTACAGACTGATGTGATAGATCTGTGATGTCACTGACTACAGACTGATGTGATAGATCTGTGATATCACTGACTACAGACTGTTGTGATAGATCTGTGATGTCACTGACTACAGACTGAAGTGATAGATCTGTGATATCACCAACTACAGACTGATGTGATAGATCTGTGATATCACCAACTACAGACTGATGTGATATATCTGTGATATCACCAACTACAGACTGATGTGATATATCTGTGATATCACCAACTACAGACTGATGTGATATATCTGTGATATCACCAACTACAGACTGATGTGATATATCTGTGATATCACCAACTACAGACTGATGTGATAGATCTGTGATATCACCAACTACAGACTGATGTGATAGATCTGTGATATCACCAACTACAGACTGATGCGATAGATCTGTGATATCACCAACTACAGACTGTTGTGATATATCTGAGTTGTATGATCGCCAGGGAGTTGAGATTGATAGTACGATGTGCCGTTTGAGATTGACATCCAGTGATCGAGGGAAAATCAAGTATATTGGCGCTGTACAATTATTAGCATAATAGCATAATAATAATAATATCACTTACTACAGACTGTTGTAATATATCTGTTAACATGTTCCTGAAACATGTATTGGGCTGCTGCATGACTTTAAGTTGTTGTGGAAATGTGGCATCACGAGCCAGGACGGACTCAACATGACTTTGAGTTGTTGTGGAAATGTGGCATTACGAGCCAGGACGGACTCAACATGACTTTGAGTTGTTGTGGAAATGTGGCATCACGAGCCAGGACGGACTCAACATGACTTTGAGTTATTGTGGAAATGTGGCATCAAGAGCCAGGACGGACTCAACATGACTTTGTGTTGTTGTTGAAATGTGGCATGGACTAACACGAGCCAGGACGGACTCAACATGACTTTGTGTTATTGTGGAAATGTGGCATCACGAGCCAGGACGGACTCAACATGACTTTGGTGTTTGTGTTTCAATGTTTGACTCAGTGCATGAGCTCACAGTGAGCTAACATGGTTGTTTGATCAGTGTTTGTTCATGTGTTTGATGTTTCAGTTTATTTGTCATTTCAATATGTCCAAACATTGTTTGCAGATGTGTTTCAGTGATCGCCATGTTCATATTGCCATTATTACTCACCCGTTGAAGATATCACTGTTTAATAATTGTACAATGTTATTACACATTGTGTTTTTTATAACATCACGCGGTGCTGTACGTAGGACGTAAAACTGGTTTACAGTTATGACGTCACAATGCTAATACCTCAGTCACAATATTATTAGACCTTGCTTGACTTAGCGGAAAGCTGAGTCATCACACTCGTTGAATTCTTAGGAAAGAAGAAGTACTTTGCTCGATATTATTTTGCTAATGTTGGGTGAGTAATAAATAAAATACTAAACTATGTCCCGTGTAATACCATATTTATGAAACTCATGAATGGTATTGGTATCTAACTCGCTTTCGCTCGTTAGATACCAAACCATTCACTCGTTTCATAAATATGGTATTACACGGGACATCGTTTAGTATTCTCCATGTAATACAGGAGTTGGTTACACCAGAAATAATCATAACATATAACTTTGTTTTAACATCAACCAGTATTTCTATCGTAACTTATCCATGTGTCTGTCATGAGTTTACAAAAATAACAAGTAAATGAAGTAGTGTTAACACTTTATCTGTCCATTGAATGCCACACTTAACTTGAGCATGTGCTTACTTTGTCTTGCCAGTCTTCCCACAATTCCTTCAAGCCTGTGGACCCAGTCACCCTCCACAGGAAGTCGTCTGCTCAATCCTCCAAAAGTCTCAAGGAGAGACTAAAGAGAAAGAAAGAACTAGTGGAGCAGAAATTTAGGGGAGAGAGCAATGAAGAAAACAGCTTTGTTGAAAGGCAAGTTGAAAGTCAGATCTCATGTCATGAAGAAAGATGGACGAGTGGACGAGGCATCACGGAAGAAGAGCGGCAGGATGGAGGAGCATCCAAGGAAGAAAAGGATGGTTCGGCGTAGCAGCGTTAGGCTCAAGGAACTCACTAAAGCTATGAAAGCAAAGAACAAGAGGAGAAGAGTGATTGAGACTGAGGAAGAAGAAGTGACAATAACGCTCCCCCGTCCCAGTCGGCCAGTGGGGAGGAAGAGAAACTTTGCCCCTCGTCTTGTTGGAGGAAGTGGGGTGACAGATATGCCAAGATTTGTTCGAGAGGAAGAGGAGTTTCAAATGTACACTGATGACGATGACGATGATGATGAAGTGTCATTCGGGAAGGTGTCATCAACAGGCAGCAGGCCCGCTGAGTGTGAAGGAGAAGAAGGGGAAGAATTCAGGGAGGAAGAAGAAGGTGATCGGTATGAGGACACGAAGCTCCATCCAGACAGTGGTGGCATCTCCTGCCAAGATTGTAGCAAGTAAACGACTGTCAGCTGTGAAGAAGCTGCGGAAGGCCAAAGGAGATCAGATGATGCTGTCCAAGATCATTGAGAAGAGGAGGAGGCTGAAACAGGAGGATGGGAAGGGGGAGGCAACCAAGAGGGGGAGGAAGCCCACAGGTGAGCAGTCGAGGGGCACTGGAAGACGAAGGGTACTCACAGGTGGGCAGTCGGTAGAGGGGGCACAGGAAGACGAAGGGTACTCAAAGGTGGGTTGTCTGTAGAGAGGGTACAGGAAGACGAAGGGTACTCACAGGTGGGCAGTCGGTCGAGGGGGTACAGGAAGACGAAGGGTACTCCAAGGTGGGTTGTGTGTAGAGGGGGTACAGGAAGACGAAGGGTACTCACAGGTGGGCTGTCTGTAGAGGGGGTACAGGAAGACGGAGGGTACTCACAGGTGGGTTGTCTGTAGAGGGGGTACAGGAAGACGAAGGGTACTCACAGGTGGGTTGTCTCTGTAGGGGTACAGGAAGATGAAGGGTACTCACAGGTGGGCAGTCTCTGTAGAGGGGTACAGGAAGACGAAGGGTACTCACAGGTGGGTTGTCTGTAGAGGGGGTACAGGAAGACGGAAGGGTACTCACAGGTGGGTTGTCTGTAGAGGGGTACAGGAAGACGGAGGGTACTCACAGGTGGGTTGTCTGTAGAGGGGACACAGGAAGACGAAGGATACTCACAGGTGGGTTGTCTGTAGAGGGGGTACAGGAAGACGAAGGGTACTCACAGGTGGGTTGTCTGTAGAGGGGGCACAGGAAGACGAAGGGTACTCACAGGTGGGCTGTCTGTAGAGGGGGTACAGGAAGACGAAGGGTACTCACAGGTGGGCAGTCGGTAGAGGGGGCACAGGAAGACGAAGGGTACTCACAGGTGGGTTGTGTGTAGAGGGGGTACAGGAAAACGAAGGGATACTCACAGGTGGGCAGTCGGTAGAGGGGGCACAGGAAGACGAAGGGTACTCAAAGGTGGGTTGTCTGTAGAGGGGTACAGGAAGACGAAGGGTACTCACAGGTGGGCAGTCTGTAGAGGGGGTACAGGAAGACGAAGGGTACTCACAGGTGGGTTGTGTGTAGAGGGGGTACAGGAAGACGAAGGATACTCACAGGTGGGTTGTCTGTAGAGGGGGCACAGGAAGATGAAGGGTACTCACAGGTGGGCAGTCGGTAGAGGGGTACAGGAAGACGAAGGGTACTCACAGGTGGGTTGTCTGTAGAGGGGGTACAGGAAGACGAAGGGTACTCACAGGTGGGTTGTCTGTAGAGGGGGCACAGGAAGACGAAGGGTACTCACAGGTGGGCTGTCTGTAGAGGGGGTACAGGAAGACGAAGGGTACTCACAGGTGGGCAGTCGGTAGAGGGGGTACAGGAAGACGAAGGGTACTCACAGGTGGGCAGTTGGTAGGGGGTACAGGAAGACGAAGGGTACTCACAGGTGGGCAGTCGGTAGAGGGGTCACAGGAAGACGAAGGGTACTCACAGGTGGGCAGGCAGTCAGTTCAGTGGAGGGGATAGTGGAGACAAAATTCACAGGTTTTTCAGTCAATCATTGAACGAGTGATTCGGGAAACAGGGAAGGTGATAGGTAGACAGGGTACTCAGAGGTGGGCTGTCCCTGGTCAGGGGGTGGGGACAGGAAGACAGGGAGTACACACATGGTTGGTCAATCAGTGAAGGAAGGAGGGGACAGGAAGACGTAGAGAACCGACAGGTAGGCAGTCGGGAGGGGAAGGGGGTTACAGAAAGATGAAGGGAACATTCATATTTTCAGTTAATCAGTGTTGATAGTGGAGATGTTGGTTGGGAGAGATGCTTACAAGTTTGAAAGAGTCATGGCAACTATCTTCCAGGTTCAAAGAAACTTGGCAATCCTGAGAAACAGAGTCGGTCCGACTCAGCCCTGAAGGCTGACCTGTCCACTCTGATGGAGGTCCCGACATTCCGCCCTTCAGAGGAGGAGTTCCGTGACCCCATCCAGTACATTGAGAGTATCCGAGCAGCAGGCTGAGCCGTACGGCATGTGTCAGATCATTCCCCCCTCCAGCTGGAAGGTATTAATGAGCATTTAGGGAGTTATATGGTCCTCCCAGCAGGGTGTTGGATCATTCAGTCCCGAAACAGGGTGTTGGACCATCCTCCAGTAGCTGGGTGTTGGACCATCCTCGAGTAGCAGGGTGTCAGATCATTCTATAGAAGCACAGTATTAGACCATTTTCCTAAAGCAGGGTGTGAGACCATTTTCCTAAAGCAGGGTGTTAGACCATTTTCCTAAAGCAGGGTGTTAGACCATTTTCCTAAAGCAGGGTGTTAGACCATTTTCCTAAAGCAGGGTGTTAGACCATTTTCCTAAAGCAGGCCATGTAGCATCAGCAAGGAAATGTAACGTCTATTGTGTGTTCCAGTGTGAAAGTAAGATCAACGAAGACATGAGATTCACAGCCCAGGTTCAGCTTGTACACAAGTTATACAAGAGGTGAGTAGTATTTGAGCTTCCGTACTGTTCAGTGAGGCATTCCCTGGTGGATATGTGCTACTGTGTTAATCCTTCCAGCCAAACGTCATCTCCTGTACGTGTTGTGACAGGTGGGGCCCTAATAGCCAGTTCACAGCCTCCGCCAACAAGCACCTGGACGCCATTGGGGCCAATCTTGAGCCGTCGCCCCAGGTATGTTCTGACTGTCCTACATCCCTAGGTATGTTTTGACTGTCCTACATCCCCAGGTATGTTCTGACTGTCCTACATCCCACGGTATGTTTTTTACTGTCCTACATCCCCAGGTATGTTCTGACTGTCCTACATCCCCAGGTATGATCTGACTGTCCTACATTCCCAGGTATGTTCTGACTGTCCTACATCCCCAGGTATGACCTGATGTCCTACATCCCCAGGTGTGATCTGACTGTCCTACATCCCCAGGTATGTTCTGACTGTCCTACATCCCCAGGTATGTTCTGACTGTCCTACATCCCCAGGTATGTTCTGACTGTCCTACATCCCCAGGTATGACCTGACTGTCCTACATCCCCAGGTGTGATCTGACTGTCCTACATCCCCAGGTATTTTGACTGTCCTACATCCCCAGGTATTTTCTGACTGTCCTACATCCCCAGGTATGTTTTTACTGTCCTACATCCCCAGGTATGATCTGACTGTCCTACATCCCCAGGTATGTTCTGAGTGTCCTACATCCCCAGGTGTGATCTGACTGTCCTACATCCCCAGGTATGTTCTGACTGTCCTACTTCCCAGGTATGACCTGAGTGTCCTACATCCCCAGGTATGTTCTGACTGTCCTACATCCCCAGGTATGTTCTGACTGTCCTCCCCAGGTATGACCTGAGTGTCCTACATCCCCAGGTGTGATCTGTCTGTCCTACATCCCCAGGTATGTTCTGACTGTCCTCCCCAGGTATGTCCTGAGTGTCCTTCATCCCCAGATGTGAGCTGACTGTCCTACATCCCCAGGTGTGTTCTGACTGTCCTACATCCCCAGGTGTGTTCTGACTGTCCTACATCCCCAGGTATGTTCTGACTGTCCACATCCCCAGGTATGACCAGAGTGTCCTACATCCCCAGGTGTGATCTGACTGTCCTACATCCCCAGGTATGATCTGACTGTCCTACATCCCCAGGGTGTGACTGTGATCTGACTGTCCTACATCCCCAGGTATGATCTGACTGTCCTACATCCCCAGGTATCTGACTGTCCCAGGTGTGTTCTGACTGTCCTACATCCCCAGGTGTGTTCTGACTGTCCTACATCCCCAGGTGTTCTGACTGTCCTACATCCCCAGGTATGTGATCCTACATCCCCAGGTATGTTCTGACTGTCCTACATCCCCAGGTATGATCTGACTGTCCTACATCCCCAGGTATGTTCTGACTGTCCTACCCCACATCCCCAGGTCCTACATGGTCTGACTGTCCTACATCCCCAGGTATGTTCTGACTGTCCTACATCCCCAGGTATGTATGACCTGACTGTCCTACATCCCCAGGTGTGATCTGACTGTCCTACATCCCCAGGTATGTTCTGACTGTCCTACATCCCCAGGTATGTTCTGACTGTCCTACTGTCCCCCAGGTGTGATCTGACTGTCCCTCCCCAGGTCCCCAGGTATACATTCTGAGGTGTCCTGACTGTCCTACATCCCCCAGGTGTGATCTGACTGTCCTACATCCCCAGGTGTGATCTGACTGTCCTACTTCCCAGGTATGTTCTGACTGTCCTACTTCCCAGGTATGTTCTGACTGTCCTACTTCCCAGGTATGTTCTGACTGTCCTACATCCCCAGGTATGTTCTGACTGTCCTACATCCCCAGGTATACCATTCACTGGCCTACTCCCTCAGGTATGTTCAGGTGTGATCAGATTAATTCTTTTCAACTTTTGACATAGAAACTCCCAACTGAAATTATGCATAGCGCCTGTGACTAGCAGTTGATGATTTTGCAGATTGGGGGAGTTGAGGTTGACCTGTGCAAGTTATCACGGACAATCCTGGAGTTTGGTGGGATGCAGAACGTGGTTGACAAGAGGAAGTGGGTGAAGATAGCGGACGCCATGAAGATCCCCAAACTGGTGAGTCCAGTTTCTCACAGGATGACTGCTGCACCATGTGTTTGGTTTCTGCTGGTATCATGATGGATATAAATAAACTGAACAAAAACGTCCCAGTTTAGGAACAGTTGTTTTCATGGGGTGTTTTTGAGTGAAGACAGAGCTCAAAATTTCATAAGAATATTCCCTAAAATATTCATGATTCTGAAATAAATTTGTCTACTATGTATCAGATATATTTGGCTGTGGTTTTTTTGTATTGGATTAGTACGTGCTCAATGAATTAAACCAAGATTAACTACTGATGTTCTGATATGGCTTTTTGTCTGCCATGAATGAACATTCAGATGAAGTTTCACATGTGTATTCTCAAGGAACCTTAATTGTTTGTATGATTACACAATGCCATTTAGACAGTGGTTCAATGCAACATATGTTATGTTTTGGATTACACTTTCTTCGTAAATTACAAATTCTAGTACTTTTTGGGGTTGAGTCCCATCCAGGATTCAAACCCACACCCTCAGAGTCAGGCACCAAGTCGCCAGCACACAAAGAGAGCCACCTAACACTCTAAGGTGTGGGTTTGAATCCCGGATGGGACTCAACCCCCAAAAAGTACTAGAATTTGTACTTTACGAAGAAAGTGTAATCCCAAATATAACATATGTTGTGGTTTGTATTGGTTACTTGACTGGATTATTGCCCCCCAGGCCCAGGACCGAGGGATGCGTCTGTACGACGTGTACTGCAAGTACCTGCTGCCCTACGACACTCTGTCCATGGACGAGAAGACGTGTCTGGAGCAGTCAGTCATGTCGGAGAGGCAGAGGAAGGAGAAATCAGGGAAGGGGGAAGACGAGGAGGCTATTGTCAAGGTGAGACGTTGACAGGTGCAAGGACTGTTTCACTAACCCAACTGGGAGACAGGGAGAGGGGTACATCCTCAAGGTGACACGTTGACAGGTGCAAAGTCTGTTTCACTAACCCAACTGGGAGACAGGGGGAGGGGTACATCCTCAAGGTGAGACACTGACAGGTGCAAAGTCTGTTTCACTAACCCAACTGGGAGACAGGGAGAGGGGTACATCCTCAAGGTGAGACACTGACAGGTGCAAAGTCTATTTCACTAACCCAACTGGGAGACAGGGGGAGGGGTACACCCTCAAGGTGACACGTTGACAGGTGCAAGGACTGTTTCACTAACCCGACAGGGAGAGGGGTACACCCTCAAGGTGACACGTTGACAGGTGCAAAGTCTGTTTCACTAACCCAACTGGGAGACAGGGAGAGGGGTACACCCTCAAGGTGAGACACTGACAGGTGCAAAGTCTGTTTCACTAACCCAACTGGGAGACAGGGAGAGGGGTACACCCTCAAGGTGACACGTTGACAGGTGCAAGGACTGTTTCACTAACCCGACAGGGAGAGGGGTACACCCTCAAGGTGACACGTTGACAGGTGCAAAATCTGTTTCACTAACCCAACTGGGAGACAGGGAGAGGGGTACATCCTCAAGGTGAGACATTGACAGGTGCAAAGTCTGTTTCACTAACCCAACTGGGAGACAGGGTGAGGGGTACATCCTCAAGGTGAGACACTGACAGGTGCAAAGTCTGTTTCACTAACCCAACTGGGAGACAGGGAGAGGGGTACATCCTCAAGGTGAGACATTGACAGGTGCAAAGTCTGTTTCACTAACCCAACTGGGAGACAGGGAGAGGGGTACACCCTCAAGGTGAGAAGTTGACAGGTGCAAGGACTGTTTCACTAACCCAACTGGGAGACAGGGAGAGGTGCAAAATCTGGGTACACCCTCAAGGTGAGAAGTTGACAGGTGCAAGGACTGTTTCACTAACCCAACTGGGAGACAGGGAGAGGGGTACATCCTCAAGGTGAGACGTTGATGATGTATTTCAACTTTCATTGTTTTCAGGGCAAATCAAACCCACTGAGCACTTTCAACAGGGTTGCAAGAAATGTGCGCTCCATGTGGTTTAAAGATGAACCTACTCCAGAACAAGTTGAGGTGAGATATTGAGTCAGTCCCCCGACACACACACACACACACACACACACACACACAGTACATGAATAGTGTGAATGATGTAGTACATTGTTCCAGTGTGAATACTGATATAGTACATTGTTCCAGTGTGAATACTGATATAGTACATTGTTCCAGTGTGAATACTGATATAGTACATTGTTCCAGTGTGAATACTGATATAGTACATTGTTCCAGTGTGAATACTGATATAGTACATTGTTCCAGTGTGAATACTGATATAGTACATTGTTCCAGTGTGAATACTGATATAGTACATTGTTCCAGTGTGAATACTGATATAGTACATTGTTCCAGTGTGAATACTGATATGGTACATTGTTCCATTGTGAATACTGATATAGTACATTGTTCCAGTGTGAATACTGATATAGTACATTGTTCCAGTGTGAATACTGATATGGTACATTGTTCCAGTGTGAATACTGATATAGCACATTGTTCCAGTGTGAATACTGATATAGCACATTGTTCCAGTGTGAATACTGATATAGTACATTGTTCCAGTGTGAATACTGATATAGCACATTGTTCCAGTGTGAATACTGATATAGCACATTGTTCCAGTGTGAATACTGATATAGCACATTGTTCCAGTGTGAATACTGATGTGGTACATTGTTCCAGTGTGAATACTGATATAGCACATTGTTCCAGTGTGAATACTGATATAGTACATTGTTCCAGTGTGAATACTGATATAGTACATTGTTCCAGTGTGAATACTGATGTGGTACATTGTTCCAGTGTGAATACTGATGTGGTACATTGTTCCAGTGTGAATACTGATGTGGTACATTGTTCCAGTGTGAATACTGATGTGGTACATTGTTCCAGTGTGAATACTGATGTAGTACATTGTTCCAGTGTGAATACTGATGTGGTACATTGTTCCAGTGTGAATACTGATATAGCACATTGTTCCAGTGTGAATACTGATATAGCACATTGTTCCAGTGTTGATTCACATTGTTGTGAATACTGATATAGCACATTGTTCCAGTGTGAATACTGATGTGGTACATTGTTCCAGTGTGAATACTGATGTGGTACATTGTTCCAGTGTGAATACTGATGTGGTACATTGTTCCAGTGTGAATACTGATATAGTACATTGTTCCAGTGTGAAATACTGATGTGGTACATTGTTCCAGTGTGAATACTGATATAGTACATTGTTCCAGTGTGAATACTGATATGGTACATTGTTCCAGTGTGAATACTGATATAGTACATTGTTCCATTGTGAATACTGATATAGTACATTGTTCCAGTGTGAATACTGATATGGTACATTGTTCCAGTGTGAATACTGATGTGGTACATTGTTCCAGTGTGAATACTGATATGGTACATTGTTCCAGTGTGAATACTGATATGGTACATTGTTCCAGTGTGAATACTGATATAGTACATTGTTCCAGTGTGAATACTGATATAGTACATTGTTCCAGTGTGAATACTGATGTGGTACATTGTTCCAGTGTGAATACTGATGTGGTACATTGTTCCAGTGTGAATACTGATATGGTACATTGTTCCAGTGTGAATACTGATATAGTACATTGTTCCAGTGTGAATACTGATATAGTACATTGTTCCAGTGTGAATACTGATGTGGTACATTGTTCCAGTGTGAATACTGATATAGTACATTGTTCCAGTGTGAATACTGATATGGTACATTGTTCCAGTGTGAATACTGATATAGTACATTGTTCCAGTGTGAATACTGATGTAGTACATTGTTCCAGTGTGAATACTGAATACTGATATAGTACATTGTTACATTGTTCCATTGTGAATACTGATATAGTACATTGTTCCAGTGTGAATACTGGAGACTGGTTGAGGGTCGCAGCAACCATGTAGCGGTGCAGTGTGGCCATGTCAGCACCAGCACCCAGGGGTCGGGCTTCCCCAGCAAGAAGGACAGTCCTTACGCCAGGTATGTACAGGTGTGTGAGACTTGGGGAAACACCTGGAGGTTGGGCTTCACCAGCAAAAAGGCCAATCCTTACGCCGGGTATGTACAGGTGTGTCAGGTGTGGTGAAAGACTTGGGCTTCCCAAGGACACCTGGAGGTATGTACAGGGTTGAGACTTGGGCAAAAGCCGGAGGTTGGGCTTCACCAGCAAAAAGGACGATCCTTACGACTGGTGTGTACAGGTGTGTCAGATGTGGTGAAATACCCCTGGATTGGGCTTCCCCAGTCAGGACAGTCCTCACGCCAGGTATGTACAGGTGTGACACGTGGGGAAACAAACACCCAGGGGTCGGGCTTCCCCAGTTAGGACAGTCCTTACACCAGGTATGTACAGGTGTGTGAGACTTGGGGAAACACCCGGAGGTTGGGCTTCACCAGCAAAAAGGACAATCCTCACGCCTGGTGTGTACAGGTGTGTCAGATGTGGTGAAATACCCGTGGATTGGGCTTCCCCAGTCAGGACAGTCCTTACGCCAGGTATGTACAGGTGTGACACGTGGGGAAACAAACACCCAGGGGTCGGGCTTCCCCATTAAGGACAGTCCTTACACCAGGTATGTACAGGTGTGTCAGATGTGGGGAAACACCCAGGGGTCGGGCTTCCCCAGTAAGGACAGTCCTTACGCCAGGTATGTACAGGTGTGTCAGATGTGGGGAAACACCCAGGGGTCGGGCTTCCCCAGTAAGGACAGTCCTTACGCCAGGCATGTACAGGTGTGTCAGATGTGGGGAAACACCAAGGGGTCGGGCTTCCCCAGTAAGGACAGTCCTTAAGCCAGGTATGTACAGGTGTGTCAGATGTGGGGAAACACCCAGGGGTCGGGCTTCCCCAGTAAGGACAATCCTTACGCCAGGCATGTACAGGTGTGTCAGATGTGGGGAAACACCCAGGGGTCGGGCTTCCCCAGTAAGGACAATCCTTACGCCAGGCATGTACAAGTGTGTCAGATGTGGGGAAACACCCTGGGGTCGGGCTTCCCCAGTAAGGACAGTCCTTACACCAGGCATGTACAGGTGTGTCAGATGTGGGGAAACACCCAGGGGTCGGGCTTCCCCAGTAAGGACAGTCCTTATGCCAGGTATGTACAGGTGTGTCAGATGTGGGGAAACACCCATGGGTCGGGCTCCCCCAGTAAGGACAGTGCTTACGCCAGGTATGTACAGGTGTGTCAGATGTGGGGAAACACCCTGGGGTCGGGCTTCCCCATTAAGGACAGTCCTTAAGCCAGGTATGTACAGGTGTGTCAGATGTGGGGAAACACCCTGGGGTCGGGCTTCCCCATTAAGGACAGTCCTTACGCCAGGTATGTACAGGTGTGTCAGATGTGGGGAAACACTTACTTCCACATTGTTACACTTCGAAATCGGTGAGTGAAGGAGATTAATCGTGGCCTTGCCTTGGGGGCGTGGTGGGCGAGCTGTCAAAGGCGCCAGGCTAGTGATCCAGCGATCTGGAGGTGCCGGGATCAAGCCCACCTGTGACCGGGTGTAAAAACTTTGTTGTGGGTACAGCAAACACCCAGTTGTGGGTACAGCAATGTACAGTTAAACTTGGACAAAGTACTGTGACTATGTGTCCCAGTCCACCCAGCTGTGAATGGGTACCCCGTAAGGATGGGATAGCCACATTAACTCAGTGCGCCTAGTGGCTGCAAGAGTTGTATGCTGCCCAGGGAGTTGAGATTGATAGTACGATGTGCTGTTAGAGATTGACATCCAATGATCGAGGGAAAAGCAAAGCACTTTGAGCAGCTGAGCTTGATATTGGAGTTATACAAATGTTAGCATAATGATAAATAATGATTGTCTTGGCAGGCATAGCTGGAATCTCAACAACCTGTCTGAAAACCCCAAGTGCATTCTCAGGTGCTTAGGACCAGTCTCAGGTGAGCTATCATTGTTATCCCCCGCAACGCGTTTTGCGGGGGGTATAAAAATGGACTCCGTCCGTGCATGCGTCCGTCCGTCCGTGCATGCGTCCGTCCGTCCGTGCACATTTGTCTTTGCATGAGCAGAACTCTAAAACTGTTTAATATTTCTTTACCAAACTTAGCACATAGATTGGTCTGGTGGTGTAATGGTGCCTTTTGGTAGGTTTGGAATTCTGAATAAAGTATTTTTGGCATTTCCATGGCAACAAGTTTGACTTAGATTGAAATTAGTGGTAGTGCTCTTTTCCGGAGCAGAACTCTAAAACCGTTCACTATTTCTACACCAAACTTGGCACATAGATTGGTCTGGTGGTGTACTGGTTCCTTTTTGGTAGTTTTGGAATTCTGAATAAAATATTTTTGGCGTTTCCATGGCAACAAGTTTGACTAAAACAGAAATTAGTGGTAGTGCACTTTTCCGGAGCAGAACTCTAAAACCATCCAATGTTATTTCACCAAACTTGGCACATACATAGATCTGGTGGTGTACTGGTGCTTTTTGGTAGTTTTGGAATTCAGAATAAAATATTTTTGGCATTTCCATGGCAACAAGTTTGACATAGACTGAAATTGGTGATAGTGCTCCTTTCTGGAGCAGAACTTTAAAAACCTTTCAATACTCTCCTTCCACTTTTCTGTATACACACCTAAATATTTGACATAATCATGACTCGTAGACATAATCATGAAGAGTATTTTGCCATTGCAGGGGACATTGATTACTTTGTCTTGTTAAACATCATTAAGTACTGTCATGTGAAGATTTGACTATGGCCGACATTGATCAGCTACGGATCTGTAAATAATATGTGTGTTTATGTGGCCTTTACATGATTGTAGGACTACAAGTTTTGTGACAAGTACTTGTGTGTTTCAGGTGCTACTATCCCAACTCTACACATCGGCATGCTGTTTGCCACGTCCTGCTGGTGTACTGACGTCCATCACCTGCCTTACATACAGTACCTCCACACAGGGGCCGACATTGTCTGGTAGGTTTTACCTCCATGCAGGGGCCGACATTGTCTGATACCTCCACACAGGGGCCAACATTGTCTGGTAGGTTGTACCACCACACAGGGGCCGACATTGTCTGGTACCTCAACACAGGGGCCGACATTGTCTGGTACCTCAACACAGGGGCCGACATTGTCTGGTAGGTTGTACCTCTACACTGGGGCTGACATTGTCTTGTACCACAACACAGGGGCCGACACTGTCTGGTAGGTTGTACCTCCACACAGGGGCCGACATTGTCTGTTAGATTGTACCTCCACACAGGGGCCGACATTGTCTGGTACCTCCACACAGGGGCCGACATTGTCTGGTACCTCATCACAGGGGCCGACATTGTCTGGTAGGTTGTACCTCTACACTGGGGCTGACATTGTCTTGTACCACAACACAGGGGCCACATTGTCTGTTAGGTTGTACCTCCACACAGGGGCCGACATTGTCTGGTAGGTTGTACCTCCACACAGGGGCCGACATGGTCTGGTACCACAACACAGGGGCCGACATTGTCTGGTAGGTTGTACCTCCACACAGGGGCCGACATTGTCTGGTAGGTTGTACCTCCACACAGGGGCCGACATGGTCTGGTACCACAACACAGGGGCGGACATTGTCTGGTAGGTTGTACCTCCACACAGGGGCCGACATTGTCTGGTAGGTTGTACCTCCACACAGGGGCCGACATTGTCTGGTACCACAACACAGGGGCCGACATTGTCTGGTAGGTTGTACCTCCACACAGGGGCCGACATTGTCTGGTAGGTTGTACCTCCACACAGGGGCCGACATTGTCTGGCACCTCCACACTGGGGCCGACATTGTCTGTTAGATTGTAACTCCACACAGGGGCCGACATTGTCTGGTAGGTTGTACCTCCACACAGGGGCCGACATTGTCTGGTAGGTTGTACCTCCACACAGGGGCCGACATTGTCTGGTAGGTTGTACCTCCACACAGGGGCCGACATTGTCTGGTAGGTTGTACCTCCACACAGGGGCCGACATTGTCTGTTAGGTTGTACCTCCACACAGGGCCGACATTGTCTTGTCTTGTACCACCACACAGGGGCCGACATTGTCCTAGTACCACCACACAGGGCCGACATTGTCTGGTAGGTTGTACCTCCACACAGGGGCCGACATTGTCTGGTAGGGTTGTACCTCCACACAGGGGCCGACATTGTCTTGTACCACAACACAGGGGCCGACATTGTCTGGTACCTACCAACACAGGGCCACACTTGTACCTCCGACACACCTCCCGACATTGTCTGGTAGGTTGTACCTCCACACAGGGGCCGACATTGTCTGGTAGGTTGTACCTCCACACAGGGGCCGACATTGTCTGGTAGGTTGTACCACCACACAGGGGCCGACATAGTCATAGTTAGGTTGTACCACCACACAGGGGCCGACATTGTCTGGTAGGTTGTACCTCCACACAGGGGCCGACATTGTCTTAGGTTGTACCAACACAGGGCCCGACATTGTCTGGTAGGTTGCTACCTCCACACAGGGGCCGACATTGTCTGGTAGGTTGTACCTCCACACAGGGACCGACATTGTTGTCTTGTACCTCCACACAGGGGCCGACATTGTCTTGTAGGTTGTACCACCACACAGGGGCCGACATTGTCTGGTAGGTTGTACCTCCACACAGGGGCCGACATTGTCTGGTAGGTTGTACCACCACACAGGGCCGACATTGTCTTGTCTTGTACCACCACACTGGGGCCGACATTGTCTGGTAGGTTGTACCTCCACACAGGGTACCTCCACACAGGGGCGACATTGTCTGGTAGGTTGTACTCCACACAGGGGCCGACATTGTCTGTTGTACCACAACACAGGGGCCGACATTGTCTGGTAGGTTGTACCACAACACAGGGGCCGACATAGTCTTGTACCTCCACACAGGGGGGACATTGTCTGGTACCTCCACACAGGGGCGACATTGTCTGGTAGGTTGTACCACCACACAGGGGCCGACATTGTCTGGTAGGTTGTACCACCACCACACAGGGGCCGACATTGTCTGGTAGGTTGTACCACCACACAGGGGCCGACATTGTCTGGTAGGTTGTACCTCCACACAGGGGCCGACATTGTCTGGTGGGTTGTACCTCCACACAGGGCCGACATTGTCTGGTAGGTTGTACCACCACACAGGGGCCGACATTGTCTGGTAGGTTGTACCTCCACACAGGGGCCGACATTGTCTGGTAGGTTGTACCTCCACACAGGGGCCGACATTGTCTGGTAGGTTGTACCACCACACAGGGTACCACAACACAGGGGCCGACATTGTCTGTTAGGTTGTACCTCCACACAGGGGCCGACATTGTCTGGTAGGTTGTACCTCCACACAGGGGCCGACATTGTCTGGTAGGTTGTACCTCCACACAGGGGCCGACATTGTCTGGTAGGTTGTACCTCCACACAGGGGCCGACATTGTCTGTTAGGTTGTACCTCCACACAGGGGCCGACATTGTCTGGTACCTCCACACAGGGGCCGACATTGTCTGGTAGGTTGTACCTCCACACAGGGGCCGACATTGTCTGGTACCTCCACACTGGGGCCGACATTGTCTGGTACCTACCACACACAGGGGCCGACATTGTAGGTTGTACCACCACACAGGGGCCGACATTGTCTGTTAGGTTGTACCTCCACACCACACACAGTCTGGTACCTCTACACAGGGGCCGACATTGTCTGGTAGGTTGTACCACCACACAGGGGCCGACATTGTCTGTTAGGTTGTACCTCCACACAGGGGCCGACATTGTCTGTTAGGTTGTACCTCCACACAGGGGCCGACATTGTCTGGTAGGTTGTACCTCCACACAGGGCCGACATTGTCTGGTACCACAACACAGGGGCCGACATTGTCTGGTAGGTTGTACCTCCACACAGGGGCCGACATTGTCTGGTAGGTTGTACCTCCACACAGGGGTTGTACCCTCCACACCCGACATGGTCTGGTACCACAACACAGGGGCCGACATTGTCTGGTAGGTTGTACCTCCACACAGGGGCCGACATTGTCTGGTAGGTTGTACCTCCACACAGGGGCCGACATTGTCTGGTACCACCACACAGGGGCCGACATTGTCTGTTAGGTTGTACCTCCACACAGGGGCCGACATTGTCTGGTAGGTTGTACCTCCACACAGGGGCCGACATTGTCTGGTAGGTTGTACCACCACACAGGGGCCGACATTGTCTGGTAGGTTGTACCTCCACACAGGGGCCGACATTGTCTGTTAGATTGTACCTCCACACAGGGCCGACATTGTCTGGTAGGTTGTACCTCCACACAGGGGCCGACATTGTCTGGTAGGTTGTACCTCCACACAGGGGCCGACATTGTCTTGTACCACAACACAGGGGCCGACATTGTCTGGTAGGTTGTACCTCCACACTGGGGCCGACATTGTCTGGTAGGTTGTACCTCCACACAGGGGCCGACATTGTCTTGTACCACAACACAGGGGCCGACATTGTCTGGTACCACAACACAGGGGCCGACATTGTCTGGTAGGTTGTACCTCGACACAGGTGCCGACATTGTCTGGTATGTTGTACCTCCACACAGGGGCCGACATTGTCTTGTACCACAACACAGGGGCCGACATTGTCTGGTACCTCAACACTGGGGCCGACATTGTCTGGTAGGTTGTACCTCCACACAGGGGCCGACATTGTCTGGTAGGTTGTACCTCCACACAGGGGCCGACATTGTCTGGTAGGTTGTACCTCCACACAGGGGCCGACATAGTCTGGTACCACAACACAGGGGCCGACATTGTCTGGTAGGTTGTACCTCCACACAGGGGCCGACATTGTCTTGTACCACAACACAGGGACGGACATTGTCTGGTAGGTTGTACCTCCACACAGGGGCCGACATTGTCTGTTAGGTTGTACCTCCACACAGGGACCGACATTGTCTTGTACCTGCACACAGGGGCCGACATTGTCTTGTACCACAACACAGGGGCCGACATTGTCTGGTAGGTTGTACCTCCACACAGGGGCCGACATTGTCTGGTAGGTTGTACCACAACACAGGGGCCGACATTGTCTTGTACCTCCACACTGGGGCCGACATTGTCTGGTAGGTTGTACCTCCACACTGGGGCCGACATTGTCTGGTAGGTTGTACCTCCACACTGGGGCCGACATTATCTGGTACCACAACACAGGGGCCGACATTGTCTGGTAGGTTGTACCACAACACAGGGGCCGACATAGTCTTGTACCTCCACACAGGGGCCAACATTGTCTGGTACCTCCACACAGGGGCCGACATTGTCTGGTAGGTTGTACCACCACACAGGAGCCGACATTGTCTGTTAGGTTGTACCACCACACAGGGGCCGACATTGTCTGTTAGGTTGTACCACCACACAGGAGCCGACATTGTCTGGTAGGTTGTACCTCCACACAGGGGCCGACATTGTCTGTTAGGTTGTACCACACACACAGGGTACCACCACACACGACATTGTCTGTTAGGTTGTACCACCACACAGGGGCCGACATTGTCTGGTAGGTTGTACCTCCACACAGGGGCCGACATTGTCTGGTAGGTTGTACCACCACACAGGGGACCGACATTGTCTGGTAGGTTGTACCACCACACAGGAGCCGACATTGTCTGTTAGGTTGTACCACCACACAGGAGCCGACATTGTCTGTTAGGTTGTACCATCACACAGGGGCCGACATTGTCTGATACCTCCATACAGGGGCCGACATTGTCTTGTAGGTTGTACCTCCACACAGGGGCCGACATTGTCTGTTAGGTTGTACCACCACACAGGAGCCGACATTGTCTGGTACCTCCACACTGGGGCCGACATTGTCTGGTACCTCCACACAGGGGCCGACATTGTCTTGTACCACGACACAGGGGCCAAGATTGTCTGTTAGGTTGTACCACCACACAGGGGCCGACATTGTCTGTTAGGTTGTACCACCACACAGGAGCCGACATTGTCTGTTAGGTTGTACCACCACACAGGGGCCGACATTGTCTGTTAGGTTGTACCACCACACAGGGGCCGACATTGTCTGGTAGGTTGTACCTCCACACAGGGGCCGACATTGTAAGTAAGGTGACATCATAGAAGGTGGAGATTTGAGCATTGTTGTGTTGATGGAGGTTTGAGTATTGTTATGTTGATGGAGGTTTGAGTATTCTTACGTTGATGGAGGTTTGAGCATTGTTATGTCGATTGAGGTTTGAGCATTGTTATGTCGATGGAGGTTTGAGTATTATTATGTTGATGGAGGTTTGAGCATTGTCATGTTGATAGAGGTTTGAGCATCGTTATGTCGATGGATGTCGATGGAGGTTTGAGCATTGTCATGTTGATAGAGGTTTGAGCATCGTTATGTCGATGGAGGTTTGAGCATTGTTGTGTTGATAGAGGTTTGAGCATTGTTGTGTTGATGGAGGTTTGAGTAATGTTGTGTTGATGGAGGTTTGAGTATTGTTATGTCGATGGAGGTTTGAGCATTGTTATGTTGATGGAGGTTTGAGTATTCTTACGTTGATGGAGGTTTGAGCATCGTTATGTCGATGGAGGTTTGAGCATTGTCATGTTGATAGAGGTTTGAACATTGTTGTGTTGATGGAGGTTTCAGCATCGTTATGTCGATGGAGGTTTGAGCATTGTCATGTTGATAGAGGTTTGAACATTGTTGTGTTGATGGAGGTTTGAGCACATTTATGTTGATGGAGGTTTGAGCATCGTTATGTCGATGGAGGTTTGAGCATAGTTGTGTTGATAGAGGTTTGAGCATAGTTGTGTTGATAGAGGTTTGAGCATAGTTGTGTTGGAGGTTTGAGCATAGTTGTGTTGATGGAGGTTTGAGCATAGTTGCGCTGATAGAGGTTTGAGTATTGTTGTGTTGATGGAGGTTTGAGTATTGTTATGTTGTTGGAGGTTTGAGCATCGTTATGTTGATCGAATTTTTTGAGCATCGTTATGTTGATAGAGGTTTGAGCATTGTTGTGTTGATGGAGGTTTGAGAATTGTTGTGTTGATGGAGGTTTGAGAATTGTTACGTTGATTCAGGTACTCCATCCCGAAGCAGCAGGAGGGGAAGTTGAAGACAGCCATGAAGGAGTTGGTGCCGTCCCTGGTGTCACAGGACCCTCACTGGCTCAAGGAAGATACTGTCATGGTGAGACACAATTATCAAGTTGAGATGATTCGTTATTTTGATATGAGATGATGTTGAGATGATGCCTTTGTCCGAATTATCTTGGTAAAGTGATGCTTGTATCAGTATTTCTTGGTGAGACAATCAGAAGACCCGTGAAGATCCGGGTTAGAATATTGATCTTCAGTAACCCATCCTTGTTGTAAGAGGCTAGTAACGGGATCTGGTGCCGTGGTCAGGCTCGCTGACTTGGTTGACACATGTCATCGGTTCCCAATTGCACAGATCGGTGCTCATGCTGTTGATCACTGGATCGTCTGGTCCAGACTCGTTTATTTACAGACCGCTGCCATATAGCTGAAATATTTCTGAGTGCGGCGTAAAACTAAACTCACTCACTCACTTGTATCAGAATTATCTTGGTAAAGTGATGCTTGTATCAGTATTTCTTGGTGAGACAATGCTTGTATCAGAATTATCATGTTAAAATAATATTTGTGTCACAATTATCATGTTAAGATGATGTTTGTTTTCACAGTGATTGTTGTGAGATAATGCTTCGGTAAGAATTGTCTTGGTGGGAGATTTGAGGCAGAATTGATAAGAGATAATTCATTTGTCATAAGAGGCAAGAGTTACGTTGGTCAAGGACTCAATATGTCTGCACCTAAATTATAAATCAGACCTAACCAGCCTCTCCTTTATATGCAGGTCAACCCATCTCGTCTGACGGCACGAGGCGTGACAGTTGCCCGGTGTGTTCAAAAACCCAAGACATTTGTTGCCATCTTTTCCAAGTCATACACAGCCACCATCAGTGATGATGTTAGGTGTGTACTGGGTGTTGAGCTGATGATGTTAGGTGTGTACTGGGTGTTGAGCTGATGATGTTAGGTGTGTACTGGGTGTTGAGCTGATGATGTTAGGTGTGTACTGCTGATGTGTTGAGCTGATGATGTTAGGTGTACTGGGTGTTGAGCTGATGATGTTAGGTGTGTACTGGGTGTTGAGCTGATGATGTTAGGTGTGTACTGGGTGTTGAGCTGATGATGTTAGGTATGTACTGGGTGTTGAGCTGATGATGTTAGGTGTGTACTGGGTGTTGAGCTGATGATGTTAGGTGTGTACTGGGTGTTGAGCTGATGATGTTAGGTGTGTACTGGGTGTTGAGCTGATGATGTTAGGTGTGTACTGGGTGTTGAGCTGATGATGTTAGGTGTGTACTGGGTGTTGAGCTGATGATGTTAGGTGTGTAGCAGGTCTGAAGGTGATGAAGCGAGGGGGGATGTTGGATGACATGCCAGCGGCGCAATTGTCCCGAAAGCGATCATTGGACCAAGTGGAGGACAATGTCTGTGACATCTCCAAGAAACACTGCTACTTCTCAAAGGTGAGGCGCCGACCTGGGCTACGTGTTCTGGGTATTTGGATTGGGGGATGCTTGTAGTTGCTGTCCGTTGGTTCAAGATGTCTTGACATGTTCACATTTTGATTCAGGTCGTGAATGAGAATGAGAATCTGACCCTGTCTCTGGAGGAGGGACTGAAGCATGTACAGAAGAAGAAGAACTTGAAGCACTGCAAGCTTGTGTACAGATACCCAGAGGTATGCTAGGGGTGGTGTATAGATACCCTGAGGTATGATATGGGTGGTCTTTAAGTTGGTATAGAGGTTCCTTGGGGTGAAGTGAGAAAGGTCAGTGGAGGAATATCTTGGAGTATTGTAACATGAATGTGTCTGGAGTGATTGTGATCAAACAATTGATATAAGTTGACCTTGAAGGGTTGTAAAGTGTTCCATCCTAGCGAACTGAGTCTCTCTTCCAGGAGGAACTGAAGAGCATGCTGCATAGTGCACAGTGTCGACTGGACATCAGCAGTGACAGCACCAACACCTCCAGCAAGAAGCGGGGACTGAAGAAATAGAAGACAATTGGGGAATGAAGTCTTTCTTGCCATGCACTACCAATGACTTGCAGTGGGAATCCTGCTCTAGAGAAACTGTTGCGTCATCGAAAATATGTGTTTGTGATACACGTCCAGGAGGTGTGTAGTGTCTCAACATGGGACATCAGCCAGGCAGCATACAGGATATATGTGCCATGTGTTAGAATATGAAGGCATTGTACTGTGTGTCAGAATTGTACTGTGTGTCAGCATATGGAAGCATTGTACTGTGTGTCAGCATATGGAAGCAATGTACTGTGTGTCAGCATATGGAAGCACTGTACTGTGTGTCAGCATATGGAAGCACTGTACTGTGTGTCAGCATATGGAAGCATTGTACTGTGTGTCAGCATATGGAAGCACTGTACTGTGTGTCAGCATATGGAAGCACTGTACTGTGTGTCAGCATATGGAAGCTGTACTGTGTGTCAGCATATGGAGGCCTTGTACTGTGTCATCAGCATATGGAGGCACTGTGTGTCAGCATATGGAAGCATTGTACTGTGTGTGTGGAGGCATTATGCTCGTGTGTCAGCATATGGAAGCACTGTACTGTGTGTCAGCATATGGACTGTGTGTCAGCATTGTACTGTGTGTAAGTAGAAGGAAGTAGTAGGAAGCACTGTACTGTACTGTGTGTCAGCATATGGAAGCAATGTACAGTGTGTCAGCATATGGAGGCCTTGTACTGTGTGTCAGCATATGGAGGCATTGTACTGTGTGTCAGCATATGGAAGCACTGTACTGTGTGTCAGCATATGGAAGCACTGTACTGTGTGTCAGCATATGGAAGCATTGTACTGTGTGTAAGTAGAAGGAAGCACTGTACTGTGTGTCAGCATATGGAAGCATTGTACTGTGTGTAAGTAGAAGGAAGCACTGTACTGTGTGTCAGCATATGGAAGCATTGTACTGTGTGTAAGTAGAAGGAAGCAAGGTACTGTGTGTCAGCATATGGAAGCATTGTACTGTGTGTCAGCATATGGAAGCATCGTACTGTGTGTCAGCATATGGAAGCATTGTACTGTGTGTCAGCGCATATGGAAGCACTGTACTGTGTGTCAGCATATGGAAGCACTGTACTGTGTGTCAGCATATGGAAGCACTGTACTGTGTGTCAGCATATGGAAGCAATGTACTGTGTGTCAGCATATGGAAGCATTGTACTGTGTGTCAGCATATGGAAGCATTGTACTGTGTGTCAGCATATGGAAGCACTGTACTGTGTGTCAGCATATGGAAGCACTGTACTGTGTGTCAGCATATGGAAGCAATGTACTGTGTGTCAGCATATGGAAGCACTGTACTGTGTGTCAGCATATGGAAGCACTGTACTGTGTGTCAGCATATGGAAGCAATGTACTGTGTGTCAGCATATGGAGGCCTTGTACTGTGTGTCAGCATATGGAAGCATTGTACTGTGTGTCAGCATATGGAAGCACTGTACTGTGTGTCAGCATATGGAAGCAATGTACTGTGTGTCAGCATATGGAAGCACTGTACTGTGTGTCAGCATATGGAGGCAATGTACTGTGTGTCAGCATATGGAAGCACTGTACTGTGTGTCAGCATATGGAAGCATTGTACTGTGTGTCAGCATATGGATGCGCTGTACTGTGTGTCAGCATATGGAAGCACTGTACTGTGTGTCAGCATATGGAGGCCTTGTACTGTGTGTCAGCATATGGAGGCCTTGTACTGTGTGTAAGTAGAAGGAAGCATTGTACTGTGTCAGCATATGGAAGCACTGTACTGTGTGTCAGCATATGGAGGCATTGTACTGTGTGTCAGCATATGGAAGCACTGTACTGTGTGTCAGCATATGGAAGCACTGTACTGTGTGTCAGCATATGGATGCACTGTACTGTGTGTCAGCATATGGAAGCAACCGTGTGTCACATATGTGTACTGTGTGTCAGCATATGGAAGTGTGTAAGTGTACTGTACTGTGTCAGCATATGGAAGCACTGTACTGTGTGTCAGCATATGGCATTGTAAGCACTGTACTGTGTGTCAGCATATGGAAGCACTGTACTGTGTGTCAGCATATGGATGCACTGTACTGTGTGTCAGCATATGGAAGCACTGTACTGTGTGTCAGCATATGGAGGCAATGTACTGTGTGTCAGCATATGGAGGCCTTGTACTGTGTGTAAGTAGAAGGAAGCATTGTACTGTGTCAGCATATGGAAGCACTGTACTGTGTGTCAGCATATGGAAGCACTGTACTGTGTGTCAGCATATGGAAGCACTGTACTGTGTGTCAGCATATGGAGGCCTTGTACTGTGTGTCAGTATATGGAAGCATTGTACTGTGTGTCAGCATATGGAAGCATTGTACTGTGTGTAAGTAGAAGGAAGCATTGTATTGTGTGTCAGCATATGGAAGCACTGTACTGTGTGTCAGCATATGGAAGCACTGTACTGTGTGTCAGCATATGGAGGCCTTGTACTGTGTGTAAGTAGAAGGAAGCATTGTACTGTGTGTCAGCATATGGAAGCACTGTACTGTGTGTAAGTAGAAGGAAGCAAGGTACTGTGTTTGTAAGTTCTTGCCTGTCTGCACCATGAGTGTGTTGTGGGAAAGTAGGAAACTTTACTGCAGCCACAGTTAGATGTTATCACTCACACACCTCCTGTTCAACCCTTTGTTGAATGTTTGTACAGTGGTGGATGATAATGTGCTGTTGTTGGATGTATTAAAGATGGATGGACACTTGCTGAACCAGGAATACTTCACAGCTGTTGTACAGTTGGTCTTGTATGATGGTGGATGTCGGTGAGCTGTCAACTAGGTGGATGTTGGTGAGATGTCGGTGAACTGTCGAATGGGTTGGTGAGCTATTTACTGGATGGATGTCATTGAGCTGTTGACAGGGTGGATGTCAGTGAGCTGTTGACAGGGTGGATGTCAGTGAGCTGTCGACTGGGTGGATGTCGTTGAGCTGTCGACTGGGTGGATGTCGTTGAGCTGTTGACAGGGTGGATGTCGTTGAGCTGTTGACAGGGTGGATGTCGTTGAGCTGTTGACAGGGTGGATGTCGTTGAGCTGTTGACAGCGTGGATGTCGTTGAGCTGTTGACAGGGTGGATGTCGTTGAGCTGTCGACAGGGTGGATGTCGTTGAGCTGTCGACAGGGTGGATGTCGTTGAGCTGTCGACTTTCAAAGGAGGAATGCTTCACAGCTGTTGTGTCCAGCATCACAGACTCCCCAAGCTGACAAAGTACAACTGAGTATTTCTGTCGGGGAAGTGTGCATATTGCGTAGTTTACATCCAAAGTCATGAATGAATTGTTACCACCAGGAGTAATTTTGTGTAATGTTGACATGGTTGGTGATCTCTTTGATTATTTTCATTGTACCGAATGAACAAATTACGTTTAAGAAATTGTTTTCTTTCTGAAAATCATGTTTTGAACACAATTGTATTGGCTTCTTTTATGAGTGTATGTCCCAGCAGGTTTATGGTTGATCCTACGGTAGGCAACATTGCTTCAGCAGTTAGGTAATAAGCTACAGTGACAACACACTGACAATGACAACACACAAACAATCACAACACACTGACAATGACAACACACAAACAATCACAACACACTGACAATGCCATCAACAATCACAACACACTGACAATCACAACACACAAACAATAACAACACACTGACAATCACAACACACTGACAATGCCATCAACAATCACAACACACTTACAATCACAACAATCACAACACACTGACAATGCCATCAACAATCACAACACACTAACAATCACAACACTTACAATGACATCAACAATCACAACACACTGACAATGACATCAACAATTACAACACACTGACAGTGCCATCAACAATCACAACACACTGACAATGTCATCAACAATCACAACACACTGACAATGCCATCAACAATCACAGCACACTGACAGTGCCATCAACAATCACAACACACTGACAAGCACAACACACAGATAATCACAACAATCACAACACACTGACAATGACATCAACAATCACAACACACTAACAATCACAACACACTGACAGTGCCATCAACAATCACAACAATCACAACACACTGACAAGCACAACACACTGACAATGACATCAACAATCACAACACAATGACAATCACAACACAATGACAATCACAACAATCACAACACACTTACAATGCCATCAACAATCACAACACAATGACAATGCCATCAACAATCACAACACACTGACAATGCCATCAACAATCACAACACACTGACAAGCACAACACACTGATAATCACAACAATCACAACACACTTACAATGCCATCAACAATCACAACACAATGACAATGCTATCAACAATCACAACACACTAACAATGCCATCAACAATCACAACACACTGACAATGCCATCAACAATCACAACACACTGACAATGTCATCAACAATCACAACACACTGACAATGCCATCAACAATCACAGCACACTGACAATGCCATCAACAATCACAACACACTGACAATGACATCAAGAATTACAACACAATAACAATCACAACACACTGACAATGACATCAACAATCACAACACACTGACAATGACATCAAGAATTACAACACAATAACAATCGCAACACACTGACAATGCCATCAAAGATCACAACACACTGACAATGACATCAACAATCACAACACACTAACAATCACAACACACTGACAATGACATCAACTATTACAACACACTCACAATCACAACACACTGACAATGCCATCAACAAATACAACGCACTCACAATGATATCAACAATCACAACACACTGACAATGACATCACAGCAACAATGACACCACAGTCATCACAACATCACATCAACAATCACAACACACTAACAATGACATCACAGCAACAATGACACCATAGTCATCACGACATTACATCAACAATCACAACACACTAACCATGACATCACAGCAACAATGCCACCACAGTCATCACAACATCACATCAACAATCACAACACACTAACAATGTCATCACAGCAACAATGACACCACAGTCATCATGACATCACATCAACAATCACAACACACTAACAATGACATCAGAGCAACAATCACAACACACTAACAATGACATCACATCAACAATCACAACACACTAACAATGACATCACATCAACAATCACAACACACTAACAATGAATTCACATCAACAATCACAACACACTGACTATGACATCACAGCAACAATGACACCATAGTCATCACGATATCACATCAACAATCACAACACACTAACGATGACATCAGAGCAACAATCACAACACACTAACAATGACATCACAGCAACAATGACACCATAGTCATCACGACATCACATCAACAATCACAACACACTAACAATGTCATCACAGCAACAATGACACCACAGTCATCATGACATCACATCAACAATCACAACACACTAACCATGACATCACAGCAACAATGACACCACAGTCATCACAACATCACATCAACAATCACAACACACTAACAATGACATCAGAGCAACAATCACAACACACTAACAATGACATCACATCAACAATCACAACACACTAACAATGACATCACATCAACAATCACAACACACTAACAATGACATCACATCAACAATCACAACACACTGACTATGACATCACAGCAACAATGACACCATAGTCATCACGATATCACATCAACAATCACAACACACTAACGATGACATCAGAGCAACAATCACAACACACTAACAATGACATCACAGCAACAATGACACCACAGTCATCACGACATCACATCAACAATCACAACACACTAACAATGACATCAGAGCAACAATCACAACACACTAACCATGACATCACAGCAACAATGACACCACAGTCATCACATCACATCAACAATCACAACACACTAACAATGACATCAGAGCAACAATCACAACACACTAACCATGACATCACAGCAACCAACACAACTCGCTTACAATGACATCACATCAACAATCACAACACACTGACTATGACATCACATTAACAATCACAACACACTAACAATGACATCACATCAACAATCACAACATGCTTGCAATGACATCACATCAACAATCACAACACACTGACTATGACATCACATCAACAATCACAACACACTAACAATGACATCACATCAACAATCACAACACACTGACAATGACATCAATCACAACACACTGACTATGACATCACATCAACAATCACAACATGCTTACTATGACATCACATCAACAATTACAACACGCTTACAATGACATCACATCAACAATCACAACACACTGACTATGACATCACATTAACAATCACAACACACTCACGATGACAGTTATGGCAGGAAAGTAGTGGCAACAAACTGACAACAGGGACAACATAATGACAGTAACACCACACAGGATCCTACCGACCATCACATAACAATGACATTATGCCTGGTTGGCATCAGTTACAGTTGACACCTGTATGTACTGTATAAACATGTTGGGAGCAGTCCACGAGTCTGTCTGGACAGATATGAAGCCAGGTCATTGTTTAGGGCAAACTTCAGGGATCACAGCCCACTTCACTGGAAACATTGGACAACTCTTACAGTTATGCTTTTGTAAACTTCACAGGGCAGAAGTTGTTGTTTTTTGTGTTGTATATACATTTTAAATTGAAAAGAGAAAAGAAATTTAATTGTTTTATTCCAACAAAAAATAAATGTAACAAATAACTCTTTGTGTTTTGTGTTGAACATGGTCAAATGTGATGTACATTCCTTACTAGCAACAAGGTACGTTGTGTTCTTGCAGTAATGTACTGGCAGTAGGTCTATTTGCAATACTGTAGTCAACTCACTTGTAAAAATGTACATGGTCAACTTGCATTAATGTACATGGTCAACTTGCATTAATGTGCATGGTCAACTTGCAATAATGTACATGGTCAACGGGGCGGTTGGGTAGTCTAGTGGTTAAAGCGTTGGCTCGTCACGCCGAAGACCCGGGTTCGAATCCCCACATGGGTACAATGTGTGAAGCCCATTTCTGGTGTCCCCCACCGTGATATTGCTGGAATATTGCTTAAAAGTGGCGTAAAACCAAACTCAGTCAGTCAGTACATGGTCAACTTGCATTAATGTGCATGGTCAACTTGCAATAATGCACATGGTCTACATGCGTTGACGTACATGGTCAACTTGCATCAATGTAAACAGTCAACTTGCATTAATGTACATGGTCAACTTGCATTAATGTACATGGTCAACTTGCATTAATGTACATGGTCAACTTGCATTAATGTACATGGGTAGCTTTCATTAATGTATATATATCCGTAGCGTCATGTCACGTCCTTGGTTCGTGTGGACATTCCTGGTGTACATGCCCTGGTCATGGCTCCGCTCACCTCACGGATCCACTTGTTGGCCACTGGAAAGAAGAAAACACAGCCACTCTGATCTGGACATATCAGTATACAACTAGGTTGTGGATCTCCCCAACATCTCGGCAATGCAGTCAACAAATGTAATATGAGAGAACATTAAAGCATTGATGTTTTGTTCCCTCTTGGTTAATGATATTAATATACATATTAACAGCCACTCGAGTGACCACGGCCTCCACCCACTCATCACCTATCTACTGTCAGTTAGAGCTTTATCTCACTGCTCACAAGCACGTACCCCACTTGTGACCGTACAGCACCGGGCACCCCCCGTGTCTGGTCCGGGGATCGGGGGCACCGTCAGGGAGGAAGTTGTACCAGAACAGAGCAGCGTTCTGAAGACAGACAATGGGCATAGCCGGGAGTTAGGCTACCTGTACAGAGCTGATCTCATCACCCTATGGGTTTGTTCTTTGGGCGATTGAAATTAACATGTGATGGTTCATTGACAACTGAAATAAAGTTTGGTGGTTCATTGGACGATTGAAATTAAAGTTGAATATAAACAGATCAGCCCTACTATAACACCATGGATGTGCCATACGGACACTGTGATCTATGGGGAATACCTTGATGGGCGGAGCTCCGATTCCTAGTTCCGGGAACACAGTGGCGCCACCCCCTTCCACGTCACTCAGCTGGAAACAGTGGCAGCTGGGTCAGAAAGTCTGCTTTCGAAGTGTGAATAAGCCAAGTATTGTGTCCAAACTAAACGTCATGTCATTGTATTAAGAGTATGGTATTGATACAGTCGTACGTTGCCAGCCACTGGTTCACGGTACTGTGATACCTGGAAGGTTGCGCACTGCTGAAAACAACATGCACTCAGGGTTATGACAGCATGGTTCTCTAACAGACATCTGGAAGGAGGCTCTCTAACAGACACCTCGAAGGAGGTTCTCTAACTGACATCGGGAAGGAGGCTCTCATTATAGGTACTCACTGGTACACAAGGATACACTCACATGAAACATGAATGTTGCCATTCTGTACACACTCACATGAAACATGAATGTTGCCATTCTGTACACACTCACATGAAACATGAATGTTGCCATTCTGTACACATGATTCTGTACACACACTCACATGAATGTTGCCATTCTGTACACACACTCATTTAAAACATGAATGTTGCCATTCTGTACACACACTCACATAAAACATAAATGTTGCAGTTCTGTACACACACTCACATAAAACATAAATGTTGCCATTCTGTCCCCGCTGTTTACAGAGAATCCGCTCGATGTCTTCACATTGTCTTGATTCTGGAAAACAAAATGAAAATGTGTCTTAATCACAACCTCCATGGGAACTGACGGAATTTTGTTAACATCTGCACCTCTTTCACAACCGTTCCCTGATAAAGATAATACCTACATTTACAAGGGAATGTTAGTTGTCGTAACCTCCATGTTGATGGATGACGAACATGTCCCCGGTACCCTCCGTGTCATGGTCTGGGTGGGGGCGGGTTGCAGGTGGTGGCCGTTTAGGGTTGTGAGCCAATGGTTTACTTTACAGTAATACTTAAGGCCTGCTGTGAAATAGCCGTGATATTGATGACTAAGTCAATAAACAACCACACTCGACGCAAGAACAGTCGTGACACCGACCCGTGTATTGTTTAACTATGAGCCGATCATTCCCTCTGGTTGGTGAATACTCAGACTGTACAATATTTCTGAGAGAATATGTCCTGACAGAGGAAAGAATTCCACATCTCTCTTAACTGGTGATTGTATTGTTACTGTATTTATGTAAATCTACCGTGAATACTTTCATCCAGGCGCCAACAAAGCGGTAAACTCTCTGGCATAATGCATTCATGGAGTAATCAACAATTCAACATACTATTGATGCATGTTCTTTTCAGTTTATAGATATTTCAGAATACCTTTACACACAGCCCACTGTGTTACGACAGCCTTGGAATAAACCCCTGCACTAAATGCTGCTGTATTTTAGCTTTGTAAATTCGGAATCACCTCAGCCACCACACACCCACCACCCACTCAGCCAGCCACCACCCACCCACCACACACTCAGCCAGCCGCGGAAGGTGGCAGTTTCGATCCCCGACCGCGTCATACCAAAAGACGTTAAAATATGGTACTTGTTGGTCCCTGCCTGGCGCTCGGCATTAATGGGTACAACAAGGACTGGTCTGCTCGGAGTCAGTATAATGTGTCCGAGTGGGGTATCCATGCTTCACTGCGGCATGATATCTCGGTTGGCTAGCACTATAAAACCAGCTTAAGTCTGGGCTAGTACAAGCAGCCGCACATACACACACACACGCGCATGCACGTCGTCATATGAGCGAAATATTCTCCAGCACGACGTTAAATCCAATTTCACCTCACCTCACCTCACCTCACCTCAGCCAGCCACCACACACCCACCACACACTCAGCCAGCCACCACACACCCACCACCCAGCCACTCAGCCAGCCACCCCACACTCACCACACACTCAGCCAGCCACCACGCACCCACCACCAACACACCACACACCCACCACACACTCATCCAGCCACCACACACCCACCACCCACCCACCCAGCCACTGCACACCCTCCACACACTCAGCCAGCCACCAAACACTCACCCCACACTCAGCCAGCAACAACACACTCACCCCACACTCAGCAAGCCACCACACACTCACCCCACACTCAGCCAGCCACCACACACCCACCACACACTCAGCGAGCCACCCCACACCCACCTAGCCACCCCACACTCAGCCAGACACAACACACCCGCCACACACCCACCACACACTCAGCCAGCCACCATACACCCACCACACACTCAGCCAGCCAGCCACCACACACCCACCCAGCCACCCACACTCAGCCAGCCACCCCACACTCAGCCAGCCACCATACACCCACCACACACTCAGCCAGCCAGCCACCACACACCCACCACACACCCACCCCACACTCAGCCAGCCACCACACACCCACCACACACTCAGCCAGCCACCACACACCCACCACCGAGCCACCCAGCCACTGCACACTCACCACACACACACCCACCAAGCCACCCCACACTCACCACACACCCACCCAGCCATCGGACACTCACCACACACTCACCCACCCAGCCACCGCACACTCACCACACACTCAGCCAGCCACCCCACACCCACCCATCCACTGCACTCACCACGTAGTAGTCGTAGTGGGGGGCGTAGTGTCCTCCAACGCCGTAATTCACCACCTGGCGGGAACAAGCACTCCATGGTTACAGTCATCGAATGTACGTATTACGTCACTGCAAACAGTTCACCGTATTGCTATACATATACTCCTGGCAGGAGTGTCTTCAACATACCGAATGTACGTATTACGTCATTACAAACAGTTCACCGTATTGCTATACATATACTCCTGGGAGGAGTGTCTTCAACATACCGAATGTACGTATTACGTCATTACAAACAGTTCACCGTATTGATATACATATACTCCTGGAGGGAGCGTCTTCAACATACCGAATGTACGTATTACGTCAGTGCAAACAGTTCACCGTATTGCTATACATATACTCCTGGGAGGAGTGTCTTCAACATACCGAATGTACGTATTACGTCACTACAAACAGTTCACCGTATTGCTATATATATACTCCTGGGAGGAGTGTCCTCAACACACCTGGAAAGGTTCGGCGAAGGTGGCGCTGTCGCGGAAGTCGGTCTTCAGTCCAGTAATATCGGCAACCCTCCTGCTCACTCGAGCAACGATGTGGGTATGGTTGTCCCATAGCCACGCCCTGGAAAAACAAGCATGTCCCTACAATAGTTTCCCATACCTACGACATGTGAGATCCTTCACTAGTTCCCCATACCTATGACATGTCAGATCCTACAATAGTTCCCCATACCTATGGCATGTCAGATCCTTCACTAGTTCCCCATACCTATGACATGTCAGATCCTTCACTAGTTCCACATACCTATGACATGTCAGATCCTTCACTAGTTTCCCATAACTATGACATGTCAAATCCTTCACTAGTTCCCCATACCTATGACATGTCAGATCCTTCACTAGTTCCCCACACCTATGACATGTCAGATCCTACAATTGTTCCCCATACCTATGCCATGTCAGGTCCTTCACTAGTTCCCCATACCTATGACATGTCAGATGCTTCACTAGTTCCCCATACCTACTAGTTCCCCATACCTATGACATGTCAGATCCTTCACTAGTTCCCCATACCATACCTCATGACATGTCAGATCCTTCACTAGTTCCCCATACCTATGACATGTCAGATCCTTCACTAGTTCCCCATACCTATGACATGTCAGATCCTTCACTAGTTCCCCATACCTATGACATGTCAGATCCTTCACTAGTTCCCCATACCTATGACATGTCAGATCCTTCCACATACCTAGTTCCCCATACCTATGACATGTCAGATCCTTCACTAGTTCCCCATACCTATGACATGTCAGATCCTTCACTAGTTCCCCATACCTATGACATGTCAGGTCCTTCACTAGTTCCCCATACCCATGACATGTCAGATCCTACAATAGTTCCCCATACCTATGACATGTCAGGTCCTTCACTAGTTCCCCATCCATGTCAGATCCTACACTAGTTCCCCATACCTATGACATACCAGATCCTTCAATAGTTCCCCATACCTATGGCACATGTCAGGTTCCTTATACTAGTTCCCCATACCTATGACATGTCAGATCCTTCAATAGTTCCCCATACCTATGACATGTCAGATCCTTCATTAGTTCCCCATACCTATGACATGTCAGATCCTTCACTAGTTCCCCATACCTATGACATGTCAGATCCTTCACTAGTTCCCCATACCTATGACTATGATCCTTCATGTCAGATCCTCCTTCACTAGTTCCCCATACCCATACTATGACATGTCAGATCCTTCACTAGTTCTAGTTGACATGTCAGATCCATACCTATGACATGTCAGATCCTTCATTAGTTCCCCATACCTATGGCACATGTCAGATCCTGACATGTCAGGTCCTTCCTAATTAGTTCCCCATACCTATGACATGTCAGATCCTTCACTAGTTCCCCCATACCTATGACATGTCAGATCCTACAATAGTTCCCCATACCTATGACATGTCAGGTCCCTTCATACCAATGACATGTCACCTAGTTCCCTTCATTAGTTACCCCTATGACATGTCAGGTCCTTCATTAGTTCCCCATACCTATGACATGTCCAGATCCTTCAATAGTTCCCTATGACATACCTATGACATGTCAGGTCCTTCATTAGTTCCCCATACCTATGACATGTCAGATCCTTCACTAGTTGACATGTCCCCATACCTATGACATGTCAGATCCTTCAATAGTTCCCCATACCTATGACATGTCAGGATCCTTCACTAGTTCCCCATACCTATGACATGTCAGATCCTACACTAGTTCCCCATACCTATGACATGTCAGATCCTTCATTAGTTCCCCATACCTATGACATGTCAGATCCTTCAATAGTTCCCCATACCTATGACATGTCAGGTCCTTCATTAGTTCCCCATACCTATGACATGTCAGATCCTTCACTAGTTCCCCATACCTATGACATGTCAGATCCTTCACTAGTTCCCCATACCTATGACATGTCAGATCCTTCACTAGTTCCCCATACCTATGACATGTCAGATCCTTCACTAGATTCCCCATACATATGACATGTCCAGATCCTTCACTAGTTCCCCATACCTATGACATGTCAGATCCTTACACTAGTTCCCCCATACCTGGCATGACATGTCAGATCCTTCACTAGTTCCCCATACCTATGACATGTCAGATCCTTCACACTAGTTCCCCATACCCTATGACATGTCAGATCCTACATTAGTTCCTCCATACCTATGACATGTCAGATCCTTCACTAGTTCCCTACATGTATCCTTCACTAGTTGACCTCACATGTCAGATCCTTCACTAGTTCCCCATACCTATGACATGTCAGATCCTTCACTAGTTCCCCATACCTATGACATGTCAGATCCTTCACTAGTTCCCCCATACCCATACGTATGTCATGTCAGGTCCTTTTTATTAGTTTCCATACCTATGACATGTCAGATCCTACAATAGTTCCCCATACCTATGACATGTCAGATCCTTCAATAGTACCTATGACATACCTATGACCATTCCCTACCACCTATGGGCATCCTTCCATTCTAGTTCCCCATACCTATGACATGTCAGATCCTTCACTAGTTCCCCATACCTATGACATGTCAGATCCTTCACTAGTTCCCCATACTGATAATGTCAGATTCCTAGTTCCCATACCTATGATATAGCATGTCCTCCTTCACTAGTTTCCATACATGTCAGATCCTTCCACTAGTTCCCCATACCTATGACATGTCAGATCCTTCACTAGTTCCCCATACCTATGACATGTCAGATCCTTCACTAGTTCCCCATACCTATGACATGTCCAGATCCTTCACTAGTTCCCCATACCTATGACATGTCAGGTCCTTCACTAGTTCCTTTCCATACCCATATCCTTATGACATGTCAGATGTCAGATCTACTTTAGTTCCCCTATACCTATGACATGTCTGATCCTTCAATAGTTCCTCCATACCTATGACATGTCAGGTCCTTCACTAGTTCCCCATACCAATGACATGTCCTCAGATCCTTCACTAGTTCCCCATACCTATGACATGTCAGGATCCTTCACTAGTTCCCCATACCTATGACATGTCAGATCCTTCACTAGTTCCCCATACCTATGACATGTCAGGTCCTTCTCACTAGTTTTTCCATACCTATGACATGTCAGATCCTACACTAGTTCCCCATACCTATGACATGTCAGGATCCTTCCACTAGTTCCCTGTACCTATGACATTAGTTATGGTTCCACTGTGGCCTCCAGATCCTTACCAGTTCCATTATGACATGTCAGATCCTTCACTAGTTCCCCATACCTATGACATGTCCAGATGCTTCCTGGATTCCCCATATCCTTGGCCGTTATGACATGTCTGAGATAGTTCTCCATAACCCTTCCATGTCATGGAGTGACGTCTCCCCATACCTATGACATGTCCAGATCCTTCACTAGTTCCCCATACCTATGACATGTCAGGTCCTTCACTAGTTCCCCCATACCTATGACATGTCAGATCCTTCACTAGTTCCCCATACCTATGACATGTCCAGATCCTTCACTAGTTCCCCTTGTACCTATGACATGTCCAAGATCCCACTTTAGTTCCCCATACCTATGACATGTCAGATCCTTCACTAGTTCCCCATACCTATGACATGTCAGATCCTTCACTAGTTCCCCATACATGACGTGTCCAGATCCTATGACATGTCAGATCCTTCACTAGTTCCCCATACCTATGACATGTCCGGATCCTTCACCTCAGTTTCCCCATACCTATGACATGTCAGATCCTTCACTAGTTCCCCATACCTATGACATGACCTCAGATCCTTCACTAGTTCCCCATACCTATGACATGTCAGATCCTTCACTAGTTCCCCATACCTATGACATGTCAGATCCTTCATTAGTTCCCCATACCTATGACATGTCAGATCCTTCACTAGTTCCCCCCATACCTATGACATGTCAGATCCTACAATAGTTCCCCATACCTATGACATGTCAGATCCTTCACTAGTTCCCCATACCTATGACATGTCAGGATCCTTCACTAGTTCCCCATACCTATGACATGTCGTCCTTCAACATGTCAGGATGTCAGATCCTCCTTCATACCTACTCAGTTCCCCATACCTATGACATGTCAGGATCCTTCTACTAGTTCCCCATACCTATGGCATGTCAGATCCTACAATAGTTCCCCATACCTATGACATGTCAGATCCTTCCACTAGTTCCCCATACCTATGACATGTCCAAGATCCTTCCACTGGTTCCCCATACCTATGACATGTCAGATCCTTCACTAGTTCCCCATACTCTATGACATGTCCAGATCCTTCACTGGTTCCCCATACCTATGACATGTCAGATCCTTCACTAGTTCCCCATACCTATGAGCATGTCAGCGTGGATTTATTCAGTTCCATACCTGCGTGACATGTCCGAGATCCTTCACTAGTTCCCCATACCTATGACATGTCAGATCCTTCACTAGTTCCCCATACACATGGTGACATGTCCAGATCCTTCACTAGTTCCCATACCTATGGCATGCCAGATCCTACAATAGTTCCCCATACCTATGACATGTCCGGGTCCTTCAATAGTTCCCCATTCCATGATGCATGTCAGATCCATCAATAGTTCCCCATACTCTATGACATGTCAGATCCTACATTAGTTCCCATACCTATGACATAGTCAGATCCTTCACTAGTTCCCCATACCTATGGCATGTCAAGGTCTTCACTAGTTCCCCATGCCTATGACATGTCAGGATCCACAATAGTTCCCCATACCTATGACATGTCAGATCCTTCAATAGTTCGCCATACCTATGACATTGTCAGGATCCTTCAGTTCTAGTTCCCCATACCTATGACATGTCAGATCCTACAATTGAGTTCTATACCTATGACATGTCCGGATCCTTCATTAGTTCCCCACTTATGACATGTCAGATTCTTCACTGGTTCCCCATACCATGACTTGTGCCTTCAATAGCTCTCTCATACCGGCATGTCAGATCCTTCATTGGTTCCATACCTATGACATGTCCAGATCCACTGGTTCCCCATACCTAAGTGACATGTCAGATCCTTCCACTAGTTCCCCATACCTATGACATGTCCGGATCCTTCACTAG